GGGAAATTATTGCAGGTGTGTAATCAGATATTTAGAAGGGCCTTTTCAGGGATAACAGTATTGTTCAAAGTGAAATTGTGAAGAAAGAAAAAAAAAAAAGGAAAAAGATAATGCTGTAAGTTTCCTCGCAGGAAGGAAATTTGAACTTTAGAACTGAGAGGTGACAGCCTCAGATTCATATTTCTCTTCTGTGAGGATAATGTATGGAGGACTCTGAAAAGGGCTGTCATTTCCCATTTTCTGTCATGTTTCTTGCTAAAGAATTAAAAACAAGTGATAATCCAAAATGAGAAAATACCCACTGTTCATGTTGCTGACAACTCTGAAAATTACTTATTTCTTATTGATCATTATGTTAATTGAGTGAGGCAAATATCTTACCAATGAGAGAAAACAACCCTTATTCAGTGGTGGTAGGCTGGATGAAAAAGCCTTAAAGTATTGTAATATGAAGTAAGTGCAGAGTGAAAAGCTGTACAGCTTATTGCTAATGTGAAGCATCACAGTACATAAACAGATGTGAAGGGTACCAGCTCTAACCAATGACTAAGGTATAGGAAAGCTCTGTGGCTAATTTGAATACTTAATGCTTAATATATTATGTCACATGTATTAGTGACTATAGACTGAGTTTGATTGTTAATCAGATTTATTGAACACTTACATATTGTTACTACAAGTAACTATAACACTATCACTAATTCACACTCTGCATTTTACTACAGCACATACTAAGTCTGTTTAGTCTGCTGTATTTTCACCAATCATTGCCTGGTAATGGATCTAAACAGTGTCCTCTACTTCCATGCTCAGATATCTACTGGTGGTGACTGTCCCACAACTAATTCATTACTCCAGTTGACTAACTCCCAGGCTGCCGGCTGTTTCACACCAACCTTCTACCCTTCTCACTGCAGTCTCAGGACTTGAGACTTGTCCTGCTTATAACACCTTGGCATGGACTGCACAGAAACCACCCTTTCCAGCCAAAGTCAAAGTCAAAGTCACATTGCGACTGACGGTCAGTCAGTCAGTAAGTCTTGGTGTCGAGCCCCATCTGGGGCTCATGACCAGATATTAATTATTACCGTTTGACAGTTACGGTCTCGTTTCTATGGGGCGCCCTCTCTGACGAGAGGACGGGTCTGTCTTTTGTATATGCTGCTGGCCCTTGCCAGCGCAGTCTTTCTCGGGTTCAAGTCCCTTGGGACTCGCGACCATATTTTACTGTCTCAGATTTGAGACTTCCCTTTTCGTCGCCTCCTACGACTCGCAAGGCCCCGGTGGAGGTATTCGACCCTGCCTCCACACGGGGTCCACCCTTTCCAGCAGTTCTGTTGTTGCATCATGTAACTATCACATGGACCACATAGAGAACACTGCTTGCCAGTTACTCCATTGTTGCATGTTATGAATCTGTTGCCTAGCAATGGGTGTCTTTGCAGAGCTGTTTCATCTGCTCTCTTCACAGTTCTTGTCTTGCGCAAATATGCCACTATATTTTATTTCATGTACCAATTTTCTGTACTGTGAGAACAGTTATTGATTGGAAATGCTATGAAAATAGTGTTACGTTGGCCTAATACAAACCTAACTATTTTCAGTGTAGAGTTCTCAGTACCAAATATAACTGAAATATGATGAATAGTCCCAAAGATGAGACATGCTAGGATGGACAGATGTGTCCTCTCCAATATATGTTTGTTGTTTGCACTTTCTGCACAGTAGACATAATACCTGCTTGATAAGTGAACATGTTTATATTTCTGTGTGCATAGTGAGTGCATTTTCTTTCCTTTCTCTCTTTCTTCAATTATCTATTTATTTATTTTTGCTCTTTTCATAAACTTGTAGGTACCTGAGAATATTTGTCTTTGGCTCTTCATCTAGATCATGGTTTAAGAATAAGTTTATATTACACTGGTGAGAAATTAACTAACTGCATTTTTTAATTCGTGTTTTAGTGAAAGTGAGCTTCTGAATCATGAAGATGAATATGAAACATTTTACACAGCATTTGCAGCTTTGGCTGCGGATTACATTAGCTCAAGTGCTAGTACATGTAAGTAATTTAGCAGATTTAAGTAATTATTGGCAAAAGTGTTCACCCTTCATCTTTGTGTTTCTTAAATCAACTGTACTGAATAATGAAGCTTTTATAATTTTTTATTTTTTATGACAGTCTTGTGTGTATTTGTGTTGGCTAAAAGAAAGTGTGTGAAAGTGTGAAATGCTCACATGTTCTGTGTTATTTACCACTGGCTGTACATTATGCATTAAAGAGTTGTGAAGCAATGAAGTAACTGTTTACTGGTTGGCTTTTATACCATAAAAGAACTGTTATCCTTGGCTAGCAACCAGGTCAAAGATAAAGAGAGAGATGGATGGATGATATGCTTTTATAAGATAAATTGCCAGGTATTTTAATTCGTATATACTTCATTTGAATTATTCTTGTCTGATCATGTGGGTTTCTTGTAGTATGTAAGAGTCAAGTGGGGATTGTCTCCCAAGCATGCCGCATTCTGCTGCAGTACCTTTTGTCTCACCTGCAAGCACAAAGCACTGGTGAAGCAGTGGCACCATCAGGGGCTATGTTGTCTCCAAAACAGCTGCTTCTTCCAGTACGTGCTCTTTGTAGTGCAGAAGGAATGCTTCAGCGGGCCGATCAGATATCTCTTACTGCCATAATGAAAAACGCGAAGTTACCTGCACATATAAAAACTAGTACTCCAGGTACGTCACATATTTGAATTCATTGGTGTATGTATAAATGGGTACAAAAGTGTACATTTCTATTCACTGCAGTGACATGCATTTTAGACAAGTACAAAGGCTTTCATGAAGGCCAGTTTAAAAGATTTATAATCCTGTCTAGGCAAGGTTTTCATTTTATTGAATATTTTTTTTATGTTATAAATTAGAGAGAGAATATATGTAATACACTTAGGACCTAACAGTATTTATTTTATGGGAGAACATCAGTGAGAAGCTGGACATTTTGGGTTTGATTCCTGGCAGGGGCTAGAGATTTTTCTATGCTCTGTAGCATCCACACTGCCCTGGAATCCATCAGTCCCATTCAGTGTGATTGGGGGGTGTGTCCCCAGAGGTAAAGTAGCAGAGATGCCAAGCTGACCACTCACTTGTATCCAGTGTCAAGGTTAAAACGGTTGAAGTTAAACCTCCATTCCACCATGTGCCTTCATAACATAGGGCTTAATTAATTAAGCATATGGATAATACAGATATTTGCAATTTAGGCATAGAACTCTAGGTACTTTCCAAAATCCAGTGAAGTGTACTGCATATGCTTTTTGATTTTAGACATGGACACCAAGCACATAAATGGATAAATGTGCAATGAGAGCAGAAAGGGAGAGAGAGAGAGAGAGAGAGATTCTTTTGACAAAGTTATTCGTGCTAGCATTGCCAAACATTATGATTCTGATGGACTGGGGCGTTTGCATGCTGCTACACTAAACAAAAACACTTTTATGAAAAATCTTGGAGTTCAGGACTGAAAAACAAGTGTTTAAATTGAAATTTAGATATTTATTTCCTTGATTTGATCTTGAGAATTTAATGCTTGTACATGGCTACTATTGAGTGATTACAGAATTTAGGTGAAGACTTAACAACAGGCAGAGAAAGAATTCAGCATGGAGGAATTTGGTATTAGAGAACAGTGATTGGGAAGTTAACAGAGACTGCTAGTGTGTTAACAGGGGGCAAGGGGTAGCATGGTTGGTTGAGGCACTATGCTACAAGCTGGAAGGTTGCAGGTTTTATTCACAGTAAGGTCATTCGATTTTTTTAATTGATTTAATTTTTCCATCTGGGGTTGACTCAGTCACTTACAGAAATTAGTACCAGGATTCTTCCAAGGGGTAAAGGGCAGCCAGTGCATAAGACAGCCTCACTGCCATCTGTGAGCTTATTGTCTAGAAAATGTGGAGCCTTGATGCCTTGCAAACCTATGGACCTTCATGGCCTGGTACAGGAATAGCTTTATGTATTTTCTACTGGGTTAACATTTTGATTCAGTTTTTGTCATGGATAGTATAGAAAAGAGGACAGAAAGTAACGAAATTGCCTGGAAAATATCTATGAAAAAGTAAACATATATCAACTGGAAAGTTAGAAGTTGTAGAACTTTCGCAGAATAATAATCCAATGTTTGAATAACAGTGCTCTAAATTAGTAGAATGAAGTAAACAGGTTAAAATGCAGTGTTCACATTCTCATATCTGAACAGATGTTACATAAATATGTCAGTCTAAATTGTAAAACTGTCAGATTTTGGGAGGGAATAAAAAGAGTAGCTATATAAAAGATAAAGTCAGGAAGTGGAAGTGAACAGTGAGAAGAAGTATATCAGAGATCTTTGTGATGATGTAAATGAATATAAGAGAAGATACCAATTGAATTTTGATGTATATAATCAAAGAATGATTTTTAGATTATATTTTCATGGCATCCTCATGTTTTAAATTTATGTGTTCTTAATTTTGTTTAGGGGAGAAAGAAGTTTCTGTCAAGGAATCGAAACGCTCTCGATCAGATTTGTCTGCTTCAATATTAGAACAGTTGACAACACCATTGCATGATTTTGTTGCACCAAGGCCACAGATGCTGGAAAGTTCTGAGCTGGTTGCCAGTAAAGTGGTGGAATCTAACCATCTCAGCACAGGTGCAGACCAGGGACAGGAAACCAAGGTGTGTTTTTTGTTGTTGTGCTGGAACATGTTAAGATCATCAGTTTGTATGTAGTATTTTGTGGATAAAGATAATAAATACATTTGATACTGTTTTCAGAGTCTTTTGACATGAGTATACAATGAAACCTAAGTTTAATATTTGTCAGTTTCAGTGATTCCCAGTCAGTGTTAAATTACCTCCAAATAAGATTTGTCTCCTGTTTTCTGTTTCTGAAAGAAACCTTAAATGGGGGTTTGACTGTAAATGAGGTGTTCCATGTGATAGTGCTCCTTGAAATGGAAGGAATAGGGTCTCTTCTCTGTTCCACAGTTTTATTAATACCTATGACAGTGGAAATATCCTGAAACTGTATTATGCTTCAGACTGCCCTACAGTGATGTTTCATGTGTCTCCATCCTAGCTCACCATCCAATATTTAAAACTTCATGAACTTCTCTGAACTGATCTGACTTAAATTAGAGATCAGTTCTGGGCAGCAGGATGTGAGCTAGCTGCAGTTGTGATGTTAGTGTCATGTGATCTTTTCTGCTTATATTTTTATGGGCGTAACAAAATAGAGTGTGTTTGAATTTCATTTTTACATTGTATGGTGTAATCATTGAGCTCAGAAGATAATGTAAAACAAAAGGAACCAGTGGTGTATAAATTGAACTCAGCTTCTCAGCTTTGTTTTTTTAGTTACTTGGTGAAATTTTTATCATTATTACATTGTGTGTTTATGTACATAACATTTTCCTTTTTCTCTTCAGAGTTGCACTTCCCAAGACCCCTGTATTTTGATCACAAAAGTTTTATTTTCTCTTGTGTGGCATTATTTGTTAATTAAACTGTATTATTTTCTTTTAAAGAATGGTATTGCATGGGTTTTTGAATTATATTTGTTTATGTATATTTTAGGAATTCAGAAAGAAAATTTATTCTAAGTTTGTGATATTCTAGTCAACAAATAATGTAAAATGTTGGATTTGAGGTTTTCATAGCACTTTGTTCAGGGATGTAATGCTCTGTAGTCTGGTGGAAGTCTATGAACAGTCAAAGGAATGCACTGCCTCCATCTTCAGAGTTAAAGAGAAAGCCAAGCTTGCTGGTTTCTAGTCTAGTTTACTATTGGACTCTGAAAATGGAGGCATGAAGTTCTCTTAAAATGTTGGCGGACTTCGCCAGACTATGTGGTATTACATCCCAGAAGGTACTATTTTTCAAATTTGAAAATGAACTCCAGTTTCAGATAAATTTGGAAAGTTAATTTTCTTCATAAGATACTGTCTTAAAATCTCTTTACATTTGTTTTCTCCTGCAGAATCTGTTCATCCAGAAAAATGTTGCAAGTCTTCAAGCCTTGCGCGCTGGTCACATCTTGATTGATATGTGCTTAAATCTACCCCACCTAAATCGTTACATTCACAAGTATCGTGATGCTGTTTCCAAGAAAGGCTTCAGTCTTCCTGCATCCCACTCCGAGGCTACATTGGTTAGGCATAGGTAACTTGTGTGATAATTTTGAGACAGGTGCAATAACAGGAATGTCCCTCATATGTAGTATGGTGGTGTTATTTTGAATTTGTTGTTTGTAGAAGCTAAGGTTTTTTACTTTTACTTTACTTTTAAGGTTTACTTTTACATTGGATCTGCAGTTAATGTTTCTATATCCCAGTTGCATTATCCCACTATTAGTTTTCCTCATTTTAAGATGTTCTGTAATTCTGAGTTAGGTTCCATTGTAGCATGAAGAAATATGTTTTTCATTGTTTTCATTGATTTTATGTATAAAATCATTGCTCTTAGTCTTAGAATAACTCCCAGATTTTCAAGTTTATTTAGTATACCTCAAATGGCAGATGATGTCCAGTACTATATTGGTATTGTCACAAATCTTTAGAGAATCACATTTCTTTCACTTGAGTATTGTAATGTGGAGAATAATAAAATCGTGAATTAAAACTTTAGAATTGAAAAAAAGGCTGATTTATTTATTAATTATTTTTTAATGAACTGGAAAGTACTGTATTATACATATATACATTTGTGTATAAGTTACTGAATTAAAATTATAAATAGTTTTTCTTGAACATACACTAGAGACTGTAATTGAGATGAAAGTCGCATAAATTCCATCAGAATCCATTAATGAACCAAAAGTATTGTTATTTTAACCAGAAAGCTGAAGTTGTATACAGTGTTGTGATTTGGTGTTAATTCTTATGTTTCATATTTGGGATTTCTGGGGATTTGATGTTGGGTGTTTTCCTTAGTTCTGAACACTTTGCATGTCACTTGTATCTTTGTGTTTTCCATAGGGGAGTCTTACTTAATTTCATGCATTCATAAGTAGTAGTATAATTTTTATTTCTGCGCTGAACATTATATGCAGGTTTCATTAGTGTCTCTAAAGTCATTATATTATACAGTAATATTTGTTTTGGTGACTGTAATTAATTTGAGTGTATATTTAGCCTTCAGGCTTTGGTGAATGATATAAGTTTGACATGGAGTGCCCTGTCACTCCCAGTATTAGAACCCTTGACACCGGAGAAGCTAGAGAAGCTATGTGTCCTCACTATGTCGTGTCTGTACTGTGCTGTTTCAAATGCAACAGCCAGTAGCTTGCTTGGCATCTCGTCTGCTATTTCACCGAAATGCACAGGAACTGCCTCAGGTAAGCCAGGATTGAAGAGTTCTGTTCTTATGACATTAACAAAGTTCAAATTCATGAATTCATTGTGATGTCAAAACAGATTCTTAGTTCTACACTGCTCATGTATGAGCTTTGGGCATGTGCTTTTGGCTTTTGAAAATGTTTACACCGTTTTATAAACTGTGTCATATGGGTATATTTATTTGGATGAAGGTCAGTGTTGAATTTTGCAGGTGCTGCAGTGAAAGGTGGAGATGATGAAGGAGGTGCTGATAGTCATGCTATCACTGTTGTGGAAAAAGCTCTGGAGATATTCTCATTGGTATCTGGGGTCATCAAGACATCCACCAGGGCAGGGGGACATGTAAGGATATCTGATGACTTTTAATTTTATTCTGTATTGTGGGACTTTTTTAGTCGATACCCAAGTATTATGTTTTTCTGTTTTAGATACCAAATTTAGAGAACTTGTAAGATATTCTGCTTCCCAGTCATCTTGGTTTCTGTACTAGACTAAATAATAATTAATATTCATTGTCTTATTTAGTTAGGTATAAACATTGAAGGTTTTGGATACTGAAAGTGGTAAGGAGAATATTTGGGCCTAAGTGAGGGGAAGGAAAAGGAGGGTGGAGAAAACTATATAAGAAGCAGCTTCATAATTTGCATTCTTTTATCTGGTCAAATCAAGGAGGATAAATTGGGCAGACATGTAGCATGTAAGGGAGACATTAGATATGCATATAAAAATGTGGTGGATACCTAGATCTGGGGATGGATGGGAGGTTCTTATGGAAATAGGATATGATGATGTAGACTGAATATAACTGATGCAGGATAGGGTACCATTGTGGGCTCTTTGGAATACAGTAATGGTCTTTCACATTCTTAAAAGGCAGAGAATTTCTTTGGCTAGCTGGAAGATGATTAGCTCTTCAGGAATGCCGCTGCTTTAAGTCTGAAACGTTATGTTTTTACATTTCAGTTTTATGTGTGTGTGTATATATATATATATGTTATAGATTCTGAAATTCTATTAAGGTGGCCCTATGAACATACAGATATTTATTTTTCTTAAAGTTCTTTGGATATGGGATTGGTGGTAAATGGGAAATTATATTTCTTATGCAGAAGTGATGGATAGAATTTTTATTTTTGAACATACACTTTCCCATGAGGTGTGGTTATAAGTTTTGATTTACTTTTTGTTCTGGGCTTATTTAACCATTTCAATAAAGATCATTCATTCATTCATTCATTCATTCATTCATTCATTCATTCATTCATTCATTTCCTTTATTTTCCATATATTCATACAGGTAAAAAACCTAGGATGTGGAGATAATTGGATAATTGTCAGTAATTCATCTCCACATAATGTTGTGAACGAAAGATAAAGCCTCTACTGTTTAATGCCAACTGGTACTTTATAGGTTGCAACATTATGTGGGATAAGTTTTATGTTTTGGTTTTGCAGATTTTACAAAACCACCTTCTAATTGGAGTGTGGGTACTAATAACTGGACTCCAGACGCAGCTGTCAGCATCCAGCTTCTTGACTGCTGATAAGGGCAAAGACGATAAAGGAAAATCCCCCAATAAGTTACGTGAGGGCTCCAGCAGGATTAACCTGATGAAAGTGTTAGTAGCCTGCTTTTTATGTTCTCATCATCTTCATGGTTTAGGCCTTGTTGACCTTTACCACCTCCATTTGAAACTTTCAGTTCCATCTCTTCATAGATAGCTGATTATCCTGTGTTCTTATAGTTCATATGTCCATTCTCTCTTTGCTAGCCATATACTTAGCAATCCTATCATATGACCATTCTAGTTATTTCTGTACTGTATTGTTGTATCACAGGTGCTTTGTATTCCTAAGTCTGCTGTTACATCTTTGTTCTGTTTCTTTTATTGTATGTATCCTGCTACTGTTTTCAGATAGCACATTTTGGGTACTTCTTTTCTTCTTGTTTCTTTAATATTCATTTTCTTCTTCCAGTAACTGTGATTGAATTGTCATTGCTTTATGGAATATTGGTGATTTCCTTTCAGATCTTTAATACAGTATGAAGTTCACGCTAATGCATGTATTAATGGTAGTCAGTGCTACTTCTGGTATCATAAGTATGTACCTGGTCTCTTGTTATATACCTTTCCTTTTCTTTTACATGTAAAAATGCTTTTGATATGTATGAAGATTTTAGGATTAATATTTGTACACTTTACATTATTGTTGATAGAAATTTTTTTAAGCCTGCTGTACATCTAACTACATTCTTTGCGGTATAGACAGTCTCCTTATATTCTTTAGCTCTGTGTCTGTGTGCAGTAAATAATTCCATATGAAAGAGATGGATGCATTAGGCCATAATGGAATGCTTTCATTGCATCCAATTCATTTAGTGTAAACTATCTTTGATTTGTAAATAGATTGGAGCTAATATTATTGCAGATTATGTCAATTTGTCTCCCAGTTCATATCACTGTTAATGACAAGGTAAAGGTAAATGTGAAGTAGTCCCTTTCCTTAACTAATTAAGCGCTACGCCATGAAGGTCTGTGGGGAAGTAGATGCATAGATCCACAATTTCTTGATCTCAGCACTAAATGGAGGTGAGTGGTCAGCTTCATGCCCCTGCTGTTTTATACCTGGGGAAAGAGCCTCCAGTACCCATTTGATAGGAAGTTGGGTGGACCTCAGAGGTGGTCTGGATGACGTGAAGAAGAGCAAATTCTTGACCCTACCAGGACTCAAATTCCGACCTCCCCATTGTCCAGCTTGTAGCCAGTTGCTGTACCGTCTTCTCTATCCTGGCTCCTCCATTAATGGCAAACGCAACAAAATTAATGCCTCTTACTCCACTAACTGCCCTGTTTTTTTTTTATTTTGTCTTATTTTGAAAATGTATTTACTTTTTATTGTTTGAAATGGAATGTAATCTGTCATGTGTTAAATGTTCGATTCAAAGTACTGAACTACTTAACTTTGTTTGGTGATACAGCTTTTGTAGTTGCTCTATATTTGTTCTTATATGTAGAACAGATGTTTTATCTGCATACTTAATTGCCTTACCTTTTCTTAATTTTGAAAATTTGACATACTTACGAAATACAGACACTTGAGTACAAAGCCTTGAGAGGCTGCATATGTGAAAGGCAGGCCAGTTGAAAGGTAATCTTTAAAGAGTTTATATTTCTGATGTTATTTTTATTGCTGTGTTGTATTTGGAAGATTTAAGAAGGTTTTGTGGAATATTGTGAATCCCATAGTACTGTGGTTTATTCAGGTATTTATTTTGGCAACAATAACACCAAAGCTTTTAATAGATTTTATGATAGTTCTTTATTATTACTAAGTTCTTTATATTGAATAAGTTTTTGGTAATGGCCAGAATTCAGCCAGGGCTAAGTTGGATAGAGGAGCATCTAAATTCTGTTTTCAGTTCTGAAGTCAAAGTGCATTATGATAAAATGGCAGTCTCAAGAACATATGACCTTTCTATAACATAAGTATAATTTTTATTTTCAGTCAGCAGGGTTTTGGGGTCTTATCGGTGGCACTGGCATCACAAGCGTTAACCATGATGTCAGCACTCCTAGATGACCTTCAGGTAGAAACTGCTTGCCATCAGGAATCTCTTAACCAAGGACCAGAACTGGAATTAGAACCAGCAAGTCTGGACATTCTGGGCCAGTTCACTGCTCTGCAACGTGCTGCCAAGTTCCTTGCTGCTGCGCCGCTTAATCAGCTACTTTTCTATCTTGCCACTATCAGTTACAGAAAGGTGTGATGATGTGCAAGCTAATTTTGTTTTTATTATGAATTTTTATTCTTAGATAGTAAAATTAGGTCTTAAAAAAGTTTTTGTCACTGATTATGACCATAAAGAAGAAAGTCTGTACCATAAGTAGGATGAATTAATTTACAAGTAATTTAATAGTGATAATTTTTAAGGAAATTATTTTCATATCATAAACAGATAGTGTCAGTTTTTCTGTCTCAGTTTGAAGATGAAGATATTAGTGTCAATAATTTTCTTAGGAGAGGGGAAATAACAGAATGATGGTGAAATTACATAATGAGGGCAACTCCTGTACCTGTGTCTACACTTCTGTACATTCATTTTATGGTATATTTCCTCACTCCATAAGGACCTTAGTTTTACTAGTGGTCTTTTGTTGGCCATCTACATTTTTTATACTTATAAAGGAATTCCACTGTCATCCATGAATAACACATTCCCATTCCATGGTACAGTTGAGTGGTAAGCATCCCTGCTTTGAATCTAGGAGGTTTAAGGTTGAAATCTAAGCTTGGGAATCTGCTATACTCACTGATGTGTCTCTGATTGTCCTCTCTTCAAACTGACAGGATAATTTATTAAACCAGAAAACGATTGTTTCCCTCCACAAACCTGGAAAAGCATCATAAGTGAAGAATCAATTCAGCCACTTGAACTCTAATTGAAAGAGCCTGCAGTATTCATAGAAATTTACAAATTAATATAAAAATTGAAGAAAGTACTTACATAATATAAAAATTCCTTACAAAACAAATTGCCATGCAGATTCAGCATGGATTCTGTGTTGTTAGAAAATATGCTGGAACAGGATTGTTAATTCACACCTTCCCCCCATTTTTTTGTGGTTTATTTCTGTTGACATTGACAGTATCACTGACTATAATATTGAACAGTAGGATGACTGGAGAATAATACATTGGAAAGAATTTGGAGAGAAGCAGTTGTGGCTCAATTAACATAGTTGAATAATAACTTAGAATGTATTTGGAGGAAAGTAGTCATGCTCTGATTGAGGTATTGATCCATCACTTGCCAGAAGGGACTGAAGAAAAGCATGAAAAACCTCAGTCAACATAGCTAATGTTCAAGCCAAGTTTTTCCTAAATACAAGTCTTGGAGTGTTCCTACTACACTGCCTTCTTAGGTAATGATGTCACATCCTTCACTTTGCCTGAGTTTTTAGCTTGTATGACATAGTATCATTGTGTATGTATGTATTTTTTAATTATTTGTATATTTTTTGTGAATTTACCTCAAACTGTGCAGAGTGAACATTCATATTGTCTGTATGAACTGTGTTTACATGTAGGCTTGCACACTGAAACGAATACAGAAACATCCACCAGAAGGAGACACCTTCAGCACTTCTGACTCAACTACTTACTATGAAGATGATTTCAGCTGCTCAGATGGAAGTTCAGCAGATGACGGTGAGTGAACATATTTATTTGTATGCTTTCAGATAGCATTACAAATTAAGAAACAATGATCAAAAGTTGACATTTGTCTTCAGATGATGACAGTGAACCAATATTAGGACTGTGGTTTGAAGAAACATTGGCACCACCTGAAACACCCGCAGGATCAAATGTGGCCCAATCAGCAGCTGATTCTCAGGAAGGAGCTGGGAAAAACAATACAGACAGAGCAGGCTCCATTGTGCCAGAAAAAGGGGAACCTCATGGGGTGAGTGTTACATTCAGTTTGTAGACTGGACAGTTTTGACAGTGTTGTCATGTTATTTATAGGGAGAAAAGTGTTGATTACATGAATTTGTATTACTTACATGCTTTTAAAGTTATGTGTACTGTTCTGTCTAAAGATTTATGTGCTGGTATATTCACCTTTTCCTGTAAATGAAATTAATTAGCTCCATAATTTTCATTGTAAACAAGTTAGATGGATTCACAATACTTTATGGTATCATTGAGATGTATATCAGAATACTTCACTTGTTTAGTATTTGGCATATCACAGAACACAAATATTAAGGTAAAAGATGATGTTACATTGTTTAATGATTAAAATTTCAAATATGTGTAATATAGATTGATTCAGAAATACACCACTGAAGGCATTAATGTTAGAAATTAAAAATATAACAGTTACTAAGTAGTTAGTAAGGCTGTTTTAGGAGTAGTTTGATTGTTTAAAATCTATATTTTTATTGTTCAGCTATGGCACCCTAACATTTAGCCAAATTTTTCTTCTTTCATCTGAGAAATATTGTCTCTGCAGAGGCATGTTATTTAATTTCAGCACAGCATTACATTATAAACTATTGTAATACCGTGTCCTGCTGCTAATTGTTGTGATTGCTTCTCTATTATAAGTATTCTGACACTGTATTCATGCAACATTGTGAATGTTTTATGGATACAAGTTGCTCTGTGTAATTGTAGTGAGTACTGGAAATAATAGGATTAGATAATTAAATCACTATTGTCTTAATATTTCCCAGACAAGGTCAACTTTTCTGTCCAAACACCTACACCATAATTTGAAGATATTTTGAAGTTTGAGCTTAAATTGTGCTAGTATTTTGTCCTGTCATCAGCAGATGCCAAATTTGTGTTTTTTTGTGTTCTTTCTTTGACCAAAGAATACATTTTATTTATTAATATACTTGTGTTTATATAAGGGAAGATCTGAAAATAAGATAACACTGCAACAGTAGAGTCTTGCTGCCATCTGATGGGCAAGTTTTATTCTTGGCTTCTCTGGGGCAAGACAGAAACACCATACCAATAGAGTGGATACCTTTTAATAAGTTTTCCAAGGGACCAAGATATATTAACTTCTTGGCTTGGAAACGTAAAAATTAATGATACACTTTATAGAAATGTAAAGGAATAAACTTTACTTTTTTACATTGAATAAATGGCTCAAAACACACTAAATATAGAGGCTTTCAAATTTACACTACATGTTCCAGCTGTCATGCTTAAGGTCAAGTAGTCTGTTTTAAAATGTTATCCTTTCTTGAACATATCTAGCATTGTACTTCTTTTGGCTTGTTTTGGACTTCATCCATCGTTTGGTATGTAAAAGACAAAAGACTACGACATTTCAGAGACTGGATCTGTCTCCATCCTCAGGTGGGCAGGGCAGGGTAAACCTACTCAGTGGGGCCTGTTAGAGCTAGTCTCAATCACTGGACCGAAACGTTGTGGTACCAGACGTACCAGACGATGGATGAAGTCCAAAACAAGCCAAAAGAAGTACAGTATACACCACCATCAGAATCCTTTCAAGTCTGTATCTAGCATTGCTTGTTTCACTTGTCTTTTAAACAAATTTGAATAAAAATTTTGAAGTTCCCAGAGATTTTTGATGATTGGCATATCAGGAATGCCACTAAGGAAGTGGTGGTATGTACCCAAACAGTGTTTTGCTTCATTGCTCTTAGGAATTGGTTTACATGTTACTACCTCCAGTTCCTCACTGTCATTTTCTGTATTCTTGTCTTCATAGTGTGTTCTCACTTTTGTTATGCAGTACATTCTCCTGGCATCACAAATCTTTCAGTTCATGAACAAGCACCTTCTAAGTAGTGAATCACCATTTCTGCTACGTTATGTCCAACAAGGATTGGCAGAACAACAGATGGTAATATTGGCAGCCATTATCAGGGACCTGGACAGAGAGACAGCCCGCACAGAAACAGGTGGGTCACCCATTTTTTAGATTTGTGAGTTCCAATAATGTCATAAACAGTGCACCAATAATAAGCGAATGGTTGTAAAAGTATTTTTTCTCTCTTAAATAAAATCTTGACAGGGCAGGCATGCATTTAAGTTTATATTCAGGAAGCATGGAAAACTCTTTAATAATATTATAAGTTATGATAAATATTATAAATTTCCCTTTGTAACTAGAAGGATATAGAGGTGATGGGTCAGTTTTTGATGAAAGGTGTATAGCAATTTTCACTTTACAGAAATGAGATGTGACTAAAAGGGTAATAGTATAAAGTATATAGTGCAAACAGGAAAACTTAAAACTTAAAACTTAAAAATCCTAGAAGTAAGTCATATGTCATTTTCTGTTCTTACATTGTTTGTTTGCAGAACAATCCCAGCAATCTGTGTCAATGATCATGTCTAACAGTTCTGATATTTCTTTTGTCAGTTCATTTTATAATAACTTATGAATTTTATTCGAAGCTATGCAGTGGAACCCCCATTTCCAGTGGATTAAGAGAGGTGAGACACTGGACACTGTGGATGGGTCGACCCCCTCTGAAAAAACAAAAGGAAAAAAAAAAAGAAAAAAAAAGGTATAGAGCATAGTGGAGGAACTGGTAACACAGAAGCACTGGCCTCCCCAGCTAGAATGAGTGAATGAGCGATGAATGAATGTCAGCTGACAGAATCAACAACCACTGCACCATGGAAGTGCTCAGGGCAAGCACCCTGGAAGAAGGGGAGGCAAATGGAAGGAAGTCTGAACATCAGAATGAAGGAAGGGGTGGATGTGGTAAAATGAACACTGCAAAAAAGGATGCGCGAAGAACTGCAAGACCAAATGCAGGCGTTACCAGCAGAACACTGAGGAACACCTGAAAGAAAGGAAAACTGTTAGGCTGTTCGGAGATGAACACCCTTTCGAAGGGAGCAATATAACGTGTTATTTCAGTGGCAAAAAAAAATCTCAGACAGGCTGTTGCCTGGGAATGCCTTGGGCAAAAAATGTGTTTCTCCAGAGATGGAAGGTTCGTTGCATAACAACGGATTGTCGAAACAGCAAAAACCAAACTGTCAAAAATGGTGTGTTCTGTCTGGTCCGGAACCCACTAACATAAGGGGGTTGAATGCATTCGCCAAGTCAGTCCTGAGATGGTTGCCATTGAAGAGAGTTAGAATGCCAGAGTTAGAAGACTAGAGTTGGAAGATAGCAGCTGCAGAATGTCGCTGAAGTGATAGTAATTGTACTTGAGTGTGTGTAAGAGTGAGCGTTCAATAAATATTCGCCAAATCTGAGACCCACGCAAAGTTATTTGTTGCGCTGCATAGGCAACATGCGACAGTATTTTTCTATTAAGGTTTTCCCACATTTAACATTGTGTTTCAGTGATCCCAAATGAATAATTTTTGTCATTTATCTCCTGTTAAGATTTTCCTCCTTTTAGTGTTCAGATCCACTGGTCTCCACAGAAACCTCAGATGGAAGTTCCACTGTATATTCAGTATGTGATAATAATCCTGTGTTTCAGGCACAATTTCAGTATACTTTGGAGCAGTACTTGGGAATCTGTACAGTGACTTTTCTCAGGCTCTCACAAGGTACACCCATAATTTGTTGGCACGTAACATCTTGGCTGAAAATCTTCAGGGGACCCTTCTAAATCATCTTGGTGTGAGTCCTTGGTCCCATGATACCAGTAACACTTGGCCCCTGCAGGTTTACCCCAGAACACTGGCTGTTCTGGCACAGGTAACTTTTACATTCTCATAAAATGCAGTATAATAGCTGTGATCAAGCTCCAGTTTTCCTTACCATCCATCTGATTTCCTCTGACTTTATTTCTATTGCTACTCCTACAGGTACATACATTTGCTTGTTATCATTAACAAAAGAAGCTGGGAAACCTTAGTGAATGTAGTATATAGTCAGGGTGACCAGGGAATTTGGGTTCAATTCCTGGCAGGGCAAGAGATTTTTCTCTTCATTACAGTGGCCAGACCAGCTTTGGGGTCCACCAAGCCTCCTGTCCAATGGGTACTGGGTTCCCCTTCCCTGGGGATGGGGTCAGAGTGGCAGGGGCATGAAGCTGACCACTTCCATCTAATGCTGAGTTTAAGAATACATGGAACTATACCTGCACTCCTCCATACATCTTAGTGGTGTTTTATTAGTTAAATACTGAAAACTTTGCCGTTGGTGTTAGCAAAATGTGTGAATATCATGTTGATGACATACATATTAGAATTTTATACCATTCAAGTTTAATTTGACACGTAAGACATGTTAGGTCGAATGAGGATATGGCCAAGAATGATGGGGAATGTCTTGTGATAAAGTTTGGACATTTTAAATGAAATATAAATAGATCAAAAACAGTAAATAAGATAGTTATAAAGAACAGTTAGAGATCAGCCGTATATTGTTGATTGATTCAAATAAAAGACATTCCCACTACAGAGGACCAAATTCTTGCAAGCAAGCGATAAATTCACTACATAATGCTGCATGTATAATAAAAAACTTTCAATTGAAAATAGAAATATAGTCAGAATCTCTTATAGAGTTAGTGTTTGTAGTCTTTCATCATTCCTTTGTGTGTGTGTTATCTAATAAAACAAAAGGTGAGACAGATGAACAGTTTGTATCAGTAAATGAATAATAATAAAAAAGATATTCATCATCATCATCATCATCATCATCATCAGTAATCTGTCAAGACGACAGGTCCACAGTCTCTTCCAAAACAATTCCTCCACTTAATGCAATCTAGAGCTTTCTCCTTCAAATGACAGTATCCTCTTCTGTCCCCAAGGTCATCCAGCATCTTCTTACGTCTTCTTCCTCGTCTTCTTGTCACTTCTATCCGCCCATCTATCTTTCCTTCGATAACTTCTTTTAGAAGGCAGTTTCTGCGTAAAACATGACCAATCCAATTAGCCTTCCGTTTTCTTATTTCGTCTAGGATATTCCTCTGCTCACTGACTCTAATTAACAAAAAAAGATATTAAGGAAATATAAATGCAGCATTTGTATTTCTTAATTTTTATTTTTAGGTTTTGTTGCTGAAGCCACAACAGGAGAAAGAAGCTGCCTGTATAAGTATTTGGCATAGATTAATCAACACATTGGTTGAAAATGTGTGTAATCCACCTAACACCTTTGAAGTTGAAAATGAAGGTTAGTGTCTTTCCATTACCAGTAACTAAAATGACATTCTGTTGATTTGTTTGTTTGGAAAATGAGAGATCACTTTCTGTAATAAGGATTCATAAAAACAAGAAACACTACAAGTTTTCAGTGAAGTAACAGTATTCTCTCATAAAGAAGCATACAGCAGGAAATACGATATATGACGGTCAGGCTGAAAGCCGGAATTGTGGATCTAGAAGAAACACTCATTGTTAGGTTATGGCATAGTAAACGTGCATTGGCATGATTGGTTGAGTATTTGTTGCTACACTATGGTCGGTAACCCCATGTGACCGCAGCAATAGTTACGCGTGCAACAATAGAGGAACTGAGGCTAGCCAGATGAGGCATAGTCAGTCATGGCAGGCAGTTGATAGGTTGAAGACACAGTTGGAGCAATGGATTAGATGTGAAACAGCCACCAACCAGTGAGGACAGGAGCTGTTGAACATGGAAGCTGAGGAATGTACAGTGTTGGGAGCTCTTACCAATCAACGAGTGATGAAGACACAGCAGACTGAGAAGACTTAGTGTGTTCTGTAGTGAATTGTAGAGTGCGTGAATTAGCAGTACCTCTATAATTAATTGTAGTTACATGTTGTAAGGATCCAGTAAATGCAGTTAGCAATCCAAACCCTGTGTCTAATCACTAAATACATGACAGTATTCATATTTTTGGAGTCTTGTCAGAGTTCATCCTGTTAATATGTTCTTTCCAATCCCTTGTATATTTTTTGTATAAATTCTGCCATTTATTGAATTTATAGGTCTCTTGTTATGTCTTAATTTATTTATGGTCCAAAAGGGTGTGTCTTGCAGATCTCATGAAATACGTTTCTGCTAAAAATGCTTTTATGTACAGTGGAAAATAAGATGATGGTAATGGAAATCTATGGTTAATTTTTATTCAATAATAGATGTTACACCATTGTTCTTGAGTATGTGAAATTTGTTATAGTAATTGGCTTATGCATGTGTATATACATTTGTGAGAAATATTTAATATGTTGAAAATTAAAAAAAGAGTGATCTTTTGAACATTAGAAAGTTGTACTATCTACAGTTCGACACAAAGATAGATCATGTAGTTATCTGCATATTGATTTATAATATCAGTGTGCTTCTCCGTTCTGGTTGAAGCTATTGAGGGAAAGTAAACATTCTAAGTTGTTTCATGCTCTTGTGTTTCAGATCTGAACGTGGAGCATGCCCAGCTGCTGCTGTTCCTGTTTCATGCATTGAACCTAATGCAGAAGAAGTCGGTACTTTTACTGACTGCAGGAGGAGTGATCCGTTGTTCTGAGATGATGAGCCAACCGATGCGTGATTCTCAGCTGTTGCATTTGTCCCGTCTCTTGTTGCTTCTGGAGTACCTCATGAAACATCTTTATGATGCTCCTCCAGCCCTTTTGGAGCAGGTAATCACATTTTAGTCTATTTCAAATATTAAGATTAACTAACTAGTCACTGTGCTTGTCAAGAACTTGCCAGCCTTCACTAGAACTTTAAATTTCATGGAGTGTATAGTATGAGCTATGTGTACTTTGATTAGAATTTGAAGGTAGCATCTTCTAAGATATTTTACTATCTGTGTTAAACTGATGAAAATGCTGGGAAACTGGTGAGGTGAATGGTCTCAAGTCTTCCCATGATTTAAAAAACAGTAGGTGAAGCAAATACTGACTTATTTTTACAAAAAGGTTAATTTGGTTGAACAGAATAATTTGTTTGGCAGGAAAGTATGATTAATTTTGGCTGAGTCCAATTTTAATATGGAACCATTTTTCTTAGGTGAGGTTTGTCTTGAAGTTAGTAAATTAAGTATGTACTGTAATGTTTACTTTCTTCTCTTTCACTAATTCTTATATACTCTGAGATACTGCAGTTTCACAAATTTTATCTGATTAAATAAAAATGTGTAATTATATGAATCAATAGATTATATTAATCTTGATGTTCAGGCTGTGATACAGGTAAATATATAATACAGCACTCTCTGAAATACAGTATGCCTAACAACGTAGTATTGTAAGAAGAGAATGCGATACAGTAGACTTTAATACTATGTGCATCAATTGTGTAATGTATACCATTTGACAGTTCTAATAAATGGACAGCAGTAATTTACATCATAAAATAAATCATGGAAGGCAACTATGTAAGATGCATAAACTAAACATCTGCTATAAATGCAGGTGCAGTGGAACCTGTTCAGTGCGACGAGCATGGTTGGTGATGCATCAGATAACAAAGATGGTTCACGTGTGGCTTCACGTATATATTGTCCTTGGAAAGAAATTGAAGATAATTATCGCAAGTATGGTCCGCAGGATGAGTTTTCCATGAAGCCACGATTCTACAGCTTAACTGTGGCAGAGGTCAACAACCAGGACACACCAAAACTGGATGGATTGGTAATTTGGTTTTGTAAAGTAATTTTGATAACTTATAGTGGAGATGTGAAGGCTGATTCTTTACACTTGGTCGGACTGTAACAAGGGGGTTTGTGTTCTGAAAAAGGTATATGTAATTCAAATTCACATTATATGAACCCATTTGTACATGTTAAAATTGCATGTACCTTCCATTTCACTTAGCCTATGATTATAATGCAAAAATAACTTTTTAGGTTTTGGATTTTTTGTGATAAAAGGTGCATGTTAACAGATCCTTATCCTGGGGCTTAATATAGTAGGAAGGCTGAATGTGCTTTGTTCACTTATTTTTATTTGTAGCTGAGGAAATAAGGAGATGTTTGTGATATAGAATGTATGGATTAATTAGGTTCAAGTTTGAAAATGAAGCAGCTCTTGCCATGTTCTGTGACAGACCAGAAATGAAACATATGGGAAAAGCTAACTTTGCTGGTCACTTATGGATAAACCAAGAAGTGATTGTGTTGGGAGAAAAAATATCTTAAAAACTTAATTACATTTGCCAGCATTTCCTAATGAAAGCATTGCCATATTTTCTTTCTTTTTCATGTTCTTTCTTTACACTTCTCACATTTTAACATTGTTGGATTTGGTATAGGCAAGAGCAGTATGTTGTAAGGTTTTTAATTTATCATTCATTCATTGGCCTTTTCAGTCTGAGAATTCAGACTCTAGTGGACATATACTGTATTTTTTTAGACTGTTGCACTGAGATATGCAAGTTAAAAATAATGGAATGGGCCTCTTAAAATACTTGATAGAAGTGACCATTTTCCTAGAGAAGTTAAGGAAGGAGAATGGTGTGCATCAGTGTGACATATATTGCAGAATAAGTACCATTGCCATTTCAGGACTGATACAACCTGCTTGACTACCTGTGCAGAGTTCTCTTTAACATTTGTAAAATTCAAAACAAGTTATGTTAATGAAAGAGTCCCTGACACACTGATACACACTCTTTAATAGTTATATTACATGAAACCAAAGTCACTTAGAAAGTAATATATATATCAGAATGTGTTGAAGAAAATCAAAGCTTACCCACAAAATATTTGTTGGTTACATGTGCATTATGTTTTCATGTAATCTGCTTCCACCTGAAAGTCCTTATGCCACTGAGGAAAAAAGATACATATTCCTTACTCTTAATTCATTCCTGCCCCATGAAGTGCTTCTTCACCTCCTCAGAAACTCTATTGTGGTACATAATTTTTGGTCTCTGTTGTCATCTTTCAGAGCTGAAAGAGTGATAGCTTGAAGGATCAATATCTAAAATGTTAAATGTATTTTCCTGTTTGAGATAATTATTTGTTATTTTATAATGCCTAATATTTCTGCCTTTTTTTGCATTCCTTATGGTTGAAACAAGAACTATGGAAGCAGGAAGTGGTTTTCCTGTCATAAATATGTTTACTACAGTAAACATATATTTATTCAATATTGCAATTACCATACATGTCGTTTATTCCTAATAAGTGGTTAATTTTTACAGGCTTGCAACTTCATTCTTGGTACTCCTGATAAATTGAAATACCCACTGTTGATAGATGCTCTGATAGAAATTCTAAATGTGACAAGTCAATGTAGTTCAAGCATGAAGCGAGGGGAGAAACTCAGTTTCACTGGCCTTTGCACTATCCAGTACTGTTTTACCATTTGCTGGAGGTAAGTATGGTTGTCTGTCTTAAAAATGGATGAATAATGATTGCTTTTCCACTTCCATTGGAATGTGTATATGTTGATCACGTACTTGTTATGAGGTAATTATACAGGGTGTTTCAAAAAGAGCTTTACAACTTTGAAAGCTTATATAAATTTATACAGAGGACATACACAACGTTTTCAACTGTCATAATGTAGCAAAACACACCTAGTTTCATGCATGTGGTGCTGTAGTACCCAATACCACCACCGTGAGCGCTCCCGCAGTTGAAATCGAGATGGCTACTTTCACAGGGGCAGAGCATGCTCATGTGTTTTGGTTCGAAGAAACGAAGTCTGCTACACAAGTTCAAAGGAAATTTTGCACCCAGTATCGCAAGGAACCTCCCAGTAGGCCTACAATTTACTCCTGGCACAAGAATTTTGTTCAGACTGGATGTTCTGTGCGCCACGCCAAGCCACCTGGTCGGCCACGTGTTTCTGACGCTACAGTGGAACAGATTAGGGAGAGCTTCGTTCGAAATCCACAAACGTCAATGACATGCGTCTCGGGGAAACTCGTATTCCAAATGTTACTGTGTGGCGAGTGTTATGAAAACGTTTACACTTAAAAACATACAATCTGTCCATCGTTCAACACCTTATGGATGCAGATAAGGTGGTTCATAAGGAATTATGTATGCAAATGTTTCATCCAATACAAGACAATGAGAAGTTTCTGGACTCCATAATTTTCAGTGATGAGAGCACATTTCATCTCAGTGCAGGATCTGGGGCAGCGAAAATCCATGTGTCTCCCTGGAACATGTTTGTGATAGACCAAAGGGGAACGTGTTTTGCCCCCTCAGCAAAGAAAGAGTGTATGGCCCCTTCTTCTTCATGGAGACGACCATTACCAGTATCGTATATCTGGACATGCTCCAAGTNCCGCGTTACCAATGGAAGTCACATTGAACCATAACTATCCGAGGTAAAACTCGGTGTGTTTTGCTACATTATGACAGTTCAAAATGTTGTGTATGTCCTCTGTATAAATTTACATAAGCTTTCAAAGTTCTAAAGCTCTTTTTGAAACACCCTGTACTTCAACAAGTGTTTTAAACACATGCATGTGAAATACACAAGCCTGTGAAATGATGAGGGTGGGAACTGTTGGTGTAGATGTGTACAAAACTGTATGAGGCTAAGGGGGCTGACATGATAAACATGCATAGTTATGATACAACAATGTATTACTTCCCTACAAAACACTGTTAGGTGACAGTGTTTATGCCAAAGTTATAGTCTGAGAATATGGGTGACTTTTCCCATTCAGTTCATCAGACTTGCTGTAAACATTGTGATATTGATTGTCGTGATCTCAGCTCTCAGTGTCATTGACACTAACCTAAACAATTTATATTAAATGACACTTCTTTGCTATTATTAAGTATACTGTCTCATTGTGAAGTGTGACTATAGATGGGGTTTGGACTGGTAATCAGATTTAGTGGACACTTTAACACACACCTCATGACTGCACTTTACAAATCATTATCACACAGACTAGTGTTCAGTTATGTCTTCAGTGTTGTTGCTTGGTAGCGGCTTCCAACAGTGGATGTTCCCCTTCCCCAGAGTTCTTGAACTGTCCTCGGCCTCAGCTACCAGCTTCTAACAGCAGCAGCTCACAGTGACTGAACCCTAGTAGTTCTCTGACTGCAAATGCTAACTGGTCCTGGTTATATAACTCCTCAGTATGGACTGCATATAAAACATTTTTTCCATTATTGCTGTGGAAATGTGCTTGTTTGTAGAGCTGTTACTTAGCAGTGACTGTTGTATAATTGCTTGTTTCGTGGTCATTGCCTAGCAACAGGTCTGCATGCCACAATACATTTTACACTGATATTCTTATAGTTCTATTTGATAAGACATGTTTTTATGATTGTCAGTGTCTTCTGTCATTTGTCAGTGCAAATCCCTCTAATGCATATCATGGCGGATTTATTTTGCTGAAGCTATATATACAGTTTCCAGTGTTAACATATTTTAGATTTATTCCGTTTTGTAGAAAGGTGTTGATTTTTACAACAAATGAACAAATAATGTAACAAAAGTGGCCATAGAATAAAACAAGTCACAAACATCGTTACCACTTACAGTTAGTCAGCAGTGAGTCAGAAATATGTTTTCAACGGTTGCCATATTGCCATATACCTAAAAAAGAAGCTGCCTTGCAACTTTTTGGTAGCATCTCATATTCTTAGTTATTCAGTAATGTTGTAACAACAATTTTGTGTTACATATCATAGGTTGTTACTCCTGCTTCCACCTTCAACACCTTACATGGACCGACTTTCTGAACCACAGGATATTACATATCCTCCTTTGTTGTTGCATTCCCTAGTGTGGGGCCCACGTTCTGCATACAAAACATTCACTGGCTGGATGAAGGTATGTTTTTAAGTGTATTCTTATTCTGTACATTTGTTGTTGTTATAAGGATGTCCTGCTCATTATAATACAATTATTATTCAATTATGTGTTATATCTAAGTTAACTAGTGGAAAGTAAAATATACAGCCAGTCCAGAAGCTATTCACTACAGTTTCATACTCTTACCTGCTCATATATCTCCCAAGACTTCTCTACTCTTCATATTTTTTAACCAGAATTATTTATGTAATTCTTAGCTCACCTGTGTGTGCTATGTCTTGTCCATCCCATCCTTCTCAATTGATCACCCTGTCTTTGTTTCTATTTATGAAATATATTTGCTCCTGGTCATCATTTGTTATTTCATATTGTAGAATTTCCAAGGACATTCAGCTTTGGTTGTAGGTTTCTGAAGAAATCTTTTGAACTTGCCATGTTGGCCAAAACATGCAGTGTATTTTAAAAACTTAAAAAAGTTTTAAACTTGTAAAGGTGATAATTCTTTATAGTGTTGCATGTAAGATGGTGAATGATCGAAGCATGTGAAAAGTGCAACAGGATGCTACAATACAATACTATGAGAAATCTTTTGAAAACTATTCCTTTCTTTTCCATCTACATGTGCTATACATCTGAGTATTGATGTCAGTAATGTCTAGTCTTTTGTAATGGGTGAGGCGTGCTTGTTGAATTATAATTTCTGTATGTTGTTGCTTGAATGATGAATAGAAAACAAGACATGGTTTTAAAGAGGTTTAACAGAAAGAAAGTGCATCGAATGAAATTATAACTGTCATCTTTGATTTGCCAGGAGCTGTATTAGTTATTACATTATTTGTCTTCATATATAAATATAGTGTATTGCCACACAGACTTAGTTGTGGGGGGAGGCTCGCCACATGCTTCTCAAAGTCTCCACACTTCCACCTTCTTCTCACAACTTCCAGAAACTCAGTGCCTTGTCTCTCATGTTTGTACTGGAAATTTCTAGAAGTGTTGGTCATCAGGCAAGGAGTTGAGTTGAAACTCTGAGCTGGAATTAGTGTTCACCATTTGTGTATGGTGAACCAGTGCAACAGGACACAAGTTTGTGAATACAAGGGAATGGACACAATAGTGTACAGTGTGAAATAGCAGTGGACCAGGCCAGCCAACATCAGGGCCAAGTGGCTAAAGACAGGCTGAAAATAACTGCTCCAGAGGACAGTGAACATTATAGTATATTATTATGGATGGACAGACTTTTGCATTTTTTCCTGTAATTATTGCATCTTGTTGGTTCTTGTTTTTCTTGCTTAAATTATAGGCTATTTTTGTCTTCTGTATACTGTTCTTCCCCCTGATCTGCAGATGGACAGTACTCACTAAGAACATTACTGTTGTATCCCTCTGACTTTTATTCATATCGATTCTGTAAGTATTAACAAAGTGACATTTGCTTATCTGAAAGTATGTTCACATTGCAGGATTGTTTAGTGAAGCAGGGTATGTATACACAGTATGCTGAGACATTGCTGAAAAATGTTGCTAAAGCAGTGAATAGCCTGAAATATGATGTTGAAGTTGCGAAGATGTGTATTACTACATTTCATCCACAGTTACAGAAGTCAGGTGAGGTGAAATTTTTCATACAGAAAATGTGCTTAAAAGAGTTTCTGGTCATTAGTCTTAATTTTATGTTACATTACTGCTATTAGTACATTACCATTTTTCTTTTTCTTTCATGTGTAGATTCTCTGGTTCCTAAATCTAACCTGCCACAGTTGTCTGATCTGTACTTACTGGATGCAGTAATAGCCAAGATCCAAGTATTGATGGATGATGGAGTATCCAAACCAGCTACAGAATCTGCAGAATCTGCAAAGTAAGGCACCATACCATACTGCACTTTGATTTTTGAATGAAGCATGTTACACTGGTAGATGGTTATTATACCTGAACATGAAAGAAAAAGTAGTTACATTGATGTGTTGTTAACATAAGTCTTTGAGCGTGGTGTGACGTTTTCTTTATGAATTTGAGACTCTTGTTGAGATTTTCAAATGCTGCATTAGTGGAAAAACNACTGCAGTTTGATTTCTGAAGGAAGCATGTTACACTGGTAGATGGTTCTTATACCTAAACATAAAAGAAAAAGTAGTTACATTGATATAAGTCTTTGAGCATGGTGTGACGTTTTCTTTATGAATTTGAGACTCTTGTCGAGATTTTCAAATGCTGCATTAGTGGAAAAAAACAGTCTTACATTCTGGTAAATATGTTACATCTTTGATCATAGTTGTGATTACATTGTTACGTGTTCTTGAAACCAGGGTTTGTTATATGCAACCTTTGTAGCCTGACTCTTATGTTTTTAAAGTAATGTTTTTAATGTTGTAACTTCTGTTAGGCCCAGCATTCCCATTCATTAGTTCATTTATGACAGAATTTTGTATACAGTTCACAGATAAAAACAAACTATAAGGTGTTCTTGTCCTAGTTTTTTCTGTGATTTCTTCCAAAGAATATGTAAAACCTGTGTACAGTATACAGTAAATGCCTATTGACTATAGCTGGCAAGTCGCTCTTAGTGCTTGATATACAGAAATTTTTTAATTTTAATCTTGTTATCAATTTTGAGTCTTTTGGAATGTTTTGAGTTTCCGAACCAAAATCATACATAGTGGTAATTAAAACTGTTATAAAGTTTGTTGTAGTGAGATTAAAATGTTACAGCTGTTATATTTTATTGTAGTGTATATGTTATATTAACATATATTGTTTTCATTTTGTGATTTAATGCAAGAATATTATCAGTATCATTGATGTAATACTCATTCTTGCAGAAGCAACCAAACTACAGATGTTTCTCCTTCATCTAATGATCTTGCTCAGGAACTCCTGCCACATGTGTTGCAGCTTGCTGAAACCATTATAGCTTGTAGCAGGTATGAATGTTCTGCCTAGTATATTTAGAAATCGCTCCTGCTGTCATTTCAGTTGCTGTCCTGGTATAAGAGTAGTACACAAAGTTCCAGGAGTTTGTCTCTTCGTTGGCATGTCAGTTTGACGCTAAACATATTTTCCCTTGATGCAAATTATTAAAATTACCTCATACAAAAGGTTATAAAAATAATGATGAACTGAGTGTATGGCTTGAGAAACAGAGAATTTAGAAATAAAATGGAATGTAAACAAATGTATTGTGAATCTTAACTTGAGGCCTGCTGTGTCCTGCTCAGGGAGACTACAAATTATATCTGAATGTTTGTGGATAAATCGCCTAGAAAGTGATAATTTGTAAGGCAGAGGTAATTAGGTAGACTAGGGTGGTCATATGTGAGTAGTACTAAAATGGGTAGATGGATGTGAACTGGATTTCATTAAAAGAAATTCGGATTCAGTCTAATAGCAGGCAGTGATATTGAACCTTAGGATTCTAATACTAGAAAGCTAATGGTTGATTGCTTGGTTGAAATTCTTAGGAAAGAGGAAAATAAAACTAACCTTAATTTGAATAAATATTTTTCACTCAATATTTAGATAATATTAACATTTCTTGTAGGTCAAGTTTGTTGTATCAGATGAATGAGAGTGCAGAGCCAGTAGGCAAGTATTCTTTACAAGACTTCCAAGTGTTCAAAGAAATCCTAGCCATTTCTTCAAGCCGCTGCAACAAGACAAGCAGTTTAGCTACTGCACTGATGGCACTACTGCCTGCAGGGGTTCGCACTGTACTGGAGAAATGGAATGACAGTGGTGTGGCTGATTTTCCATGGGTTAGTCAATTTTTCATTTTATCAAAACTTCCAGTCAGCATAAATTTATACATAGAATTTGAGTCTCTCACATCATTGATTATGAAGGTTCTCTTTTGGGGCCATGTAGTCCATTGAAAGTCGACTGACGTTTCAAAGCAATGCTTTGCCTCTATCTACACCATCACTTGACTTTCAGTGGACTTTATATTCCAGTAGTCAAGACTATATAATATGTATAATTTTAAAGAATGCTTGGGCTGTTGCAGTTACATTATCAGTTTGGTAAACCCATATATTATGGACAAATTAAAAAATAAGACAGTCATATTATGTCTAGATAAAATATTCATGTGTGTAAGTGATGCATAAACTTTGTAGATGACATAAGAAAATGTACAGTGCCTGATTGAAAAGTATCAAAATATAATGTGTGAAGACTAAGATACTGGACTTAAATGGGGCTGAAGGTCAATTTTCATCAAAGGAAGTTCCTTAAGTATGTGCACAATTGTTCCAGCATTTTTTGCCAGTGTTGTAAACACCTTTTAACTTCTGCTTTTAGAATTGCCAACCTTCTCTGTTTCATGTTATTAAATTTGTTTCCACATCAAGTCTTTACCTATAAAGTTTTATGGGATTGGGTCTCTAAGGTTTAAAAAAATAATGCAGGTACAGCAATGTATGTTCTATTTGTCCCATTCTAACCAGAAATTGTGTAAATGCACATATTAGCTTTGCCATGTTTGTCTATCTGTCTGCATGTAACAATTTGAGAACTTCAAAATGATTTTCATTAAGTTTTATACTGGGGAATTTTGCTACAGTTTGTCAACATTTCTTAATTTCGGTCAGAATTGGGTAATAGTGATCTCTCTGCGGAGACCAAAATGCTTTTCTCTGCACATCTTGTGCAACACTCACATGTAATTTGCTAAGTATTAGAATGAAAATTTTTTGAACAGAAGTCTTAGATAAACATGGAAGTCACTTTTATGAATTTTTATGCTATGTGTACATTTCCTGAGTCATTTGGAATGGTATTATGTGGGCATGAAAATAATAGAGAACAATCCAACATTCTCAGTATGTAGTATTGTTTGAACTGAGAAGCTAAAGATTTTTGCCAGGTTCATATAACTTATGTGCTTGCAGCCATTGGCCCATGTTTTTTTGTCACAAAGTAGAGTAGCTCTTTGTATGTGTGCTAAGGACTTGTGCCTCAAAGTCATTTAAATTATTTATTCAGACATCGAGTTCTTAGATTTTGGACTGAGGATTTTCCTAACAGTACTTTCATGGAATGCCAATTATGAATTGCTTGGGAAGCAAATATGAAATTACAGCATGTGCAAAAGATTGAAGAAAATAAGACACAACTGGCTAGCAGTCTCTTGTTATGATGAAATGCTGAAAAAATGTTCTTGCTTTGTATGAGATTTTTCTGCACATATAACATTAAGGATTTGATGGAGTCAGTGATTTCTCTTCTTATAAGCCACACTTATTTTGTTGTGGTTACACTATATTTGTGTGGAAGAAATGCGATGCTTAGCCAGCTGGACCATATCCATGCACTGTGACAGTAATGCATCATATGACTTGTAATGATTAATATTTGGATCTGGTGTAACATTTGTGTGTTTGTACAGAGTCCTTGTAATTGAAAGGAACAGTCACGATCAACAGCAATTCTGAATAGACTTGAATGGATTCTGACGATGGTGTATGCTGTACAGAACTGTTAGGCTTATTTTTGACTCTATCCATCGTCTGATATATATAAGACAAAAAACCCACAGCGTTTCAGAGAATGGATCTGTCTCCGCCCTCAGGTGGGCCTGTTAAAAAGAGCTAGTCTCAATCACTCGATTGGTCCAGTCTTCTAAATACCAGACGATGGATAGAGTCCAAAATAAGCCTAACAGTTCTGTACAGCAATTCTGAAGTCTTATTGAAATATAATTCTGAGATAACTGGGCTGGGATTAGGCTGCGCCATAGCTCAAGCGGTTAGTCGCTGGCTTCCCACAGTGGTGGCCCTGGTTTGATCCCGGGTCTGGTCTAGTGGGATTTGTGGTTGACAAAGTGGCACTGGGGCAGGTTTTCTCCGAGTACTTTGGTTTCTCCTGCCAATCTTCACTCCATCAATTGCTCCACAATCACCCTCACCTATCATCTGGGGCTGGTACAGTAGGCCAGAACTGGCCGCTGTACAAGGGACTTAGTCCCACCCCACTAGCAATAAAAGGAAAATAACTGCCCTGGGATCATAGGATTTGGAACCTTGCTTGTAACTAGGTGACTCTGAGTAAAAGTTACACTGCGGTTTTAAAGTGAGGTGTAATTTGGTGAATTCTGTTTGTACATGATTACTAATAACTTTGCTTTGATTTTTAACAGAATACATATTTTAATGATGTAATTCCTGCCGAAAGTTATGTGTTGGCTGTAATTAACACACACATCTCTTCACTGTCAAACTATGGCTCCTTCAGTGTCAACCCCTCACTCAAGTATTTGCTACATTCTTTGGTAACCTTCATTGGCGAACATATCACGTAAGTTCATAGGGAGCACACCAGTTTTCATACTTTCATCACACAAAATTATGTTATTGTAGGAATATAGAAATGAGTTCAAAATGTTGCGATAAAAGTTGGAAATAGATTGGAAACATTTTTCTAACAAAATACAAATTATTAGGCAAGATGAGGCAGCAGCAGTGTTACATAAATTGTGAAGAGTAACTAAGTACATGGAACAAGAGATTTCCTTGAGAAGCATTTTGTCACTTTACCTGGTCAAAAAGTTCTCTGCCTGGTATGGAACCTGAAGATGCATACTGTTTTCCATTTTAATATTATTTTACCATCTACACCTAGATCTCCCAAGTTCCCTCATCCCTTTAAATTTTCTTGTCAGTATTTGTATGCAGTTATCACCTTCCCATGCATCCATATCATCATCCTTGATTTCATTACCTTACTGATGTTTGGTGAATATGAATTTTATTGTTATGTAATTTTCTCCATTCTCTTTTTTCGGGTTCATATATTCTCCTTAGATCATTGGGTGAAACACTAAGTTCCACACCCAAATAAAAACAACAGATACAGTTATGTTGTATTTTAGCGTGATGTTGTACCGATTCGTATCCACAATGTGAATATATTAACCATCTTTTAGTGCATACAGTTTCACTTGTCACTTCACGTTACATGTTTTNAGACGATGGATAGAGTCCAAAATAAGCCTAACAGTTCTGTACAGCAATTCTGAAGTCTTATTGAAATATAATTCTGAGATAACTGGGCTGGGATTAGGCTGCGCCATAGCTCAAGCGGTTAGTCGCTGGCTTCCCACAGTGGTGGCCCTGGTTTGATCCCGGGTCTGGTCTNCAATTAAAACATAAGAAGAACGACTCCCATAGCAGATGAATGGCATCACACACGAGTTTGATATATGACATATAAGATGATAGATCATAACAAGTTTTAATATATAAATTTATTATTGAATGACGAACACACATTTTATATCATTTTATAAATGGACACTTGATGACAGGCAGTGCAATGGTTTAACATGATTAATACACCTGAGGATGGCACAGTGATGCCAAAGCATGTAGTGTGAAGTGACAAGTGAAATTGTATGCACTAAAAGACGGTTAATATATACACATTATAGATACAGTTATAATTAAAGCTGATTTGTAGTACTATTTAACATACTGCAGGAAATGCCCAGAGGATAGTGAGAGTCGAAAGCGAGCAGTGGATGTGTTGGTACCATTGACACTGGATGCATGTACTGAACATCTTCATGATGCTGTTTTGCATACATTGGAGCGTGTTATTGGTGACCCTGAAACTGATGAACACCAGAAGAGAGTCTACTACATTGTGTTGGAACATACATACTACTTGCTCCGCAGCTTCACAGCTCAAACTGCTACTCAATACTTGTGAGTAGAATTTGGTAGTTGTTCATGAACATCTTATGCTGTACTATGTGCACCTTTCCTGTTGCGTAATGACATGAATAGATGTGATGACACATATACGTAATATAAATACAGGTGATTAGTATTCAGGCCTGTCTCTGTGACTTATTCCTCTTCTTTTTAACCTGCCCCTTTTCCACCTCATCTCACTTTTATCCTGAAGATAGAAGCTGTATGTTCTTCCAAAGTGTTGCTGACCACATGCCAGACTACATAGTGTCATAATCCATAATATCATTAGCAGTGTTTAACAGAGTTGTTACTCTGTAAACTTTATAGTATTTTTTTATATAAATATATTTTCTTTAGTTCAGTAGGATCCAGGATAGCTAAGTCAGTATAGCGACTGGCTATGGGATGGACAAGTAAGGGGTCTGAGTTCAAGTCCCTGTGATGGCAAGAATTTTCACTTCTCCATGTCATCCAGACTGGCTCTGGGGTCCACCCAGCTTCCTATCCAGTGGGAACTGGGGACTGTTTCCCCAGGGTGAAGTGGCTGGGGTGTGAGTCTGACCACTCATCTCCAACTTTTGCCAAGGTCAAGAAAATGTGGGTTTGTACATCCACTTCCCCATATGGCTTCATGGCTTAGTGCTTAGTTAAGCACAGGGACAACTTTACCTTTTTACCTTACCAGTATATTACCAGTTCATAGTGGAAAGTGAGAATTAGAATCTTTTTCTTGTTTGAATGTCGTGGACTCATACAATCTGTTGTTTCTTTTTGATATTTGAGAAGATTCATGGCATGAATGAAAAGTACCAGAATAAAATTCAAAATTGTGGCACCAGTGTCTGACTCCTTAGAATGTCTTGGCGTTTGCCCAGTACACAGCAGCTACTTCCTGATGAATTTCTTCTTGAGAAAGCACTTTGGCAAGCAACAGACAAACCATTGATTGAACCACCATGAAATTCAACTCCTGCAATAGTGGTACCACTTTGAATTATCTGTTGTGGGTGTCTGCAGGCAGCTGCTGCTACCTGCTGTCTACCACAAGAACCTCTGTCTGATTTATTTTCTCATACTCGCTCTTAAAATTGAAATGAAGACATGTCTAAAATAAATTCATGAAACTGAATTTCTTATCCACCCTCATAAAGGTTCATTACTACATTCACAACAGATTGACACCAGGCTTTTTCCTGACTTGAAATAGGAGCTCTAATTATTCATGCACTTAGCTTGCTTGGAACGACAGTGAATTAATTGAAAGAAGCATGAAAGATTTTAGTGGTTTACATATCAGATGTGTCATTGTCTTACTGCTCCTCTCTCATGCATCCTGTCCCAAAGGGCTCATTTTTAATCTGCCATCAGGCTTATAAGTATTACATAGGAGAAGTAAAATGATGGAGTCCTACCGCACATGTTTATACCATAGAAGTTTGTAATTTTCTTTATGTACATTCTGAAACTAGTGTTGCTGTGGATGAAAAAGTACTGCTTGAATGCATCAAGTTCATGGAGACATTGTTGGATAAGCCAGCAGGTCGGCCAGCATTAGATCAGTTCTTCAACCAGGAAACTGGACGTGATCTAGTTACAGTGTTGCTGTCGGTAGCAACTCCTCAAGGCTCTCTGTCAACACAGTACAGCACTAAAGTGCTGCATTTCTTCAACAAACTATTTAGCACAGGTGAGTGATAGATATCAGTTAATGTATAGGGTTACCTGTAGGAAATCAAAATTTGTGCACTGCTCAAAAAAATAATCATAATGCAGTCTTTTTTTAACATGTTTTGATCTGTTTATGAGCAATGGAAAATCTTTGTAATATTCTTGTTGTAAGGTTTTTGTGTATTTGGGGTTCAATTTCTGTGATCCAAATCTGATTACTGTAGTTCAGTATTTTTTCCATTTAAGTTTTTTCCATTCATTTTATAATTTTGTCACCCCCAATGGGAACTTTATATATATATATATATGTATGTATGTAAGGAGTGGGCCATAAAAACCAGCCCCTGCACTGCGACCTTCAATGATATATTGTGCTCCCCTTGGATTAGCCCTTTATTAATCCTACACTTTTAATAAAGTGTAGGACCCTGCTTATGGAGGCGTCATAAAAGCCACTTGATTCCTTAAAAAAACTGACCCAAGTGACAAAATCGTAAATAGGCTATGGACTCACAATCACACAGGATGTGTGCGGCTGATTCGTTTTCTTGTAGACACCTTTCGCAAGTTGGTTTATCTGTCAGTCCCAACTTGAAAAGGTGTCCTTTCAGGTGGCAGTGTCCAGTAAGTAATCTTACCACCCATCTTAGTTGATCTCTGTTTAATCTCAACAGATCTTTCGTTCTTCTGTCAGAGGGTCCTGATATAAAACCCTTTGCCTGTCTGAGTACAGTTATGGATTCCCAGTATTTTTTATGGTTTCTGTCAGTCCAGTTCCTGACAATTTTCTTGGCAACTTCAATTGAGATGCCGCAAGCTGGTTCAGGTCCTTTGAACGGCTGTTCAGATCCTGTTCTTGCCAGTTGATCTGCAGTTTCATTCCCTACAATACCCTCATGACCTGGCACCCATATCAGTTGTACTTGGGAACCTTACATAGGAATGTGATTATAATTGCGTTTTTCTCGGAATGCATTAATATCCATATTTCTGTTTTAATAAATGCAGCGTGACATGCCATCTATACTACAGGGTGAATCGTATGGAACCGGCCCGGTGAATTTGCTAATAATTCCGCAGATGACGCATATAACCGCTCACAATTACGACATAATAATCCGTGGGCCATGCTTAGTCAAATGGTGTGCACATGATCTGGCAAGTGGCAGCCCGTATGCTGCAAGGTCAAGGACAATCCCAAAACGTGTCTGCAGTGCACAGGCGACAGTCATGGAGTACACTGTTGAACAGCGAGTGTTTCTCATGCAGACATACTGGGTGACAGGCTTGATTGCGAACACACAATTGGAATTCAGGAGGAAGTGTGGAGTTTGCAAGAAGCCAGCGAAATCGACTATACAGTCCTTGGCTCAGAAATTGGAAAGGACAGGGACACTTTTAAGTGAAAGTGGTAAAAACCGGCCAGAAATGCCAGAAGAAATGATTGCAATTGTGCGGGACAGGTTACTGCAGTCTCCCAAGAAATCATTATGACGTCTAAGCCAGGAAACCGGGTATTCTTATTCAACGTGTCAACGGGCTGCAAAGAAAGTGAATCTTTGTCCCTACAAGATCACCAGTGTTCAGGAATTGGGTGATGTTGATAAAGATAAACGGGTACGGTACTGTTTATGGTTTTGGGAATTCATGCACGATAACCCCAGAATTTTGATGTCACTTGGTTTAGTGATGAAGCATGGATCCACCTATCAGGATATGTAAACACACAAAATTCCAGGATCTTGGTGTCTGAAAATCCACATGAGATTGCTGAATCACCACCGCACCCACAAAAAGTGGGTGTGTGGTGTGCCATTTCTGGTTTACTAATCATTGGACTGATCTTCTTCGACATGACCATGGACAGCACCTTATACTGCCGTATTTTTTACGATTTTGTGCAGCAGCTGGATGGTGTGGAACTTACACAGGGTTATTTTCAGCAGGATTCAGCAACATACCACACGTCTGACATGTCCATGGAACTGATTGAGAGCTTCCCTGATCGCGTCATCTCTAAAAAGATGTGGCCCCCAAAATTCCTTGCCCTTGCCAGTCCGGATTTTTTTTCTCTGGGGTTTACTGAAGGACAGGGTGTATGCAAACAAACTGCGTACGTTACAGGATTTAAAGGACAACATTTTGGCTGAAATCAGGAACATCACTGAAGAAACACTTCAGCGAGTCACGGTGAATATACAAACGCCGGTGGAGGCATGCCTACTTGAAAACGGTGGACACTTTCAACACCTGCTCTGATCACGGCACACAATCCAATATAAGATTTGTGTAAATTACTTTAATATCTGTATGGTATATTTTATATTACAGCTCATTTCGTTGGGCCGGTTCTATATGAATCACCCTGTAGTATGTCAGTGGGTAAGCCGTATCCCTACTGTGTTTTAAGGATATTTGATTACATTGATTGTGTTCGTAATTTAAAGCAATGTCTCACATTTTATATCCTAACACACTGATGTCAAGAACCATAATCTTATGACATAATCGTGATCGTCTTTGGAAACATAACATTACATTCTAATGCAGTTTATTTTTCAGTTTTTTAGATCAGTACACACAGCCATTAGGGCATGTGGTAGCATAGTGGTTGAGGTGCTATGCTACAAGCCAGAAGGTTGCGGGTTCAAGTCCCGATGAGGTCATTGGTTCTTTTTCAGTTGACCTAATCCTTCTAGCCGCACTAGGCCCTGGGGTTTAGTTAGTTAGTTATTGGAGAGGGTGGGTTTCCCCATGCACTGAGACCTGTATTGGTCCATTGTGCTGCCCTCTATGATTTCTACCAGTCTCTATATCCTACCAGTACTGATGCTTACCATCAGTCCCGCCCAGCCAGCGAGACCGGCTCTACTAGCTGAGAGGTATCTATAATGCTTCCCCCATCTACCAGAGGTATTAGAGACTGCTGTTGGGTNGCTGGCCCTGGGGTTTACTCAGCCTCTAACAGAAATGAGTACCAGGAATTAATTAAATAATTTTCCTGGGGAGTAAAGCATGGCCAGTGCGTAGGGCTGACAACCTTACCACCATCTTTGAGCCGATTGTCTAGATAATGTGGGACCCTCAACTTCTCCCAACCCTATGGGCCTTCACGGCCTGGTACAGGGATAGCTTTACTTTACTTACTTTACACACAGTCATTAGCTATACCATGTTCTAGATACCATGGAGGTGCTTGTATACTTCTTTACTACCAACAGAGTTCATAGAACAGAAATTTAATTCTGTAGTTGCATTTCTAAGCAGCTTTATAATATTTGCAAAATGGTCAGGCTGCAGTGATTGCACAAGCTTCATAGTTGTTACATGTAACTGTTACTGTCCTGTAGCTGAGAAGACACCAGGTGATGGAAGCTTGGAGCGTCTGTGTGGATCTTTATCAAGACTAGCTACTGTAGAACCATCAATACTACAGAACTGGCTGCGTCATGTTATTCTTGGTGGTACATCACCTCCTCCTGCCAGTCTAGCAACACCAACAACCACACTAGTCCCTGCATCTCCACAACAGTCAGAGTCCCCAGCCAGTGCAGCAACTCCAACTGGGGGTGCTGCTGCTCCACCTCCACCCCCACCACCAGTCGCAGCAACGGGAGCAGTGAATGGAAAATCAGAAACTGGTGCACAAATAGCTAGCTCAGAATCGAACAGTAGCAGCCATAGTCCTACTGAGGAACACCAGGGTCTCTTACAGGAGAACCATCTGTTGCTGCAGGGCCTTACTGCATATATTGTTAAGGAGAATAGGTGAGGACAGTGAAATTGCATCTGTTGTTGGAGTAGTTGCTTTTAATGCTGGGATAATTTGGAATATTTAGTTGTTTTGTTTTAGCTGAATTTCTCTTTATGTTCAGGGAATTAGACTGCTATAATTTAATATAAAGTTCTGAGAAGAACTGGTCGCCTACTTTCCTTTGATAAGACATGGACTGCATAGAAAATGCATCCTGCTGTTGGAGGCGATGTTTTCTCTGTGGTCTGTCTTGGAGTTATATAAACAAGATAACTTATGGCTTTCAGGGATTAAGGGGGGGGGACACAGATGCAAACTGATAAGCCTTTTTTTATTTTTTTAAAATAAGGAAATACTTGGTGTACAGTGAAATGTACTACTTAAATATTGCCAATATGATCCTTGATTTTATTACATGAAAGTAAACAACCAGTGCCTTCTATCAGTTGCAGTGTAACAGAAGGTGTTAAAGGATCCTTTATTGATTACACACATTGTATATGCATTGCTGTGGGTGATAAAAAGCATGATTGCAGCTGTGGCTGACACAAAAAGTGTTTGGGATCATTTGTGAAAATAGCTGACTTATGAATTATTAATGACACTGATGGGGAAAAAATTGTGTCTTATACTGCTGGGTATATTTTTCCATTATTGCTGTTATATTTACATTTGTGCTTTACCAGATTTTTGCACAAGTATGTATGAATTTCAGTTTGTAAGGACACTTGCTAATTATGTTTTCTTACTGTCATATTACAGCAATGTAAGTGAGGAAGTTGCAGTAACAATACTGCGTGCTCTGATACCAATTGGCTCACACATCTTGTCTCCTGCAGTTGAAGGAACTGGCTTCTCTGAGTTAATGGTTGTTATGGCTACCCTTGCTGATGCTGGTTTAGGCAAGGGGCATGTTCATCTCTTTTCAGCTGCTACAGAGTGGCTGGAACTTTGGTGAGTATATATGATGTACTTGAAATTTAAAGTATAATACAGTTGCCTTGAGGGGCTGGGATAGAGCAGTTGGTAAAGTGACTGGCCATGGGCTGGACAGCCTAGGAATCAGTTCAATTCTTGGTAGGGGCAAGAGTTTTTTCTCTTCACATCATCTAGACTTGTTCTGTTTCAAGAATATGTCGATCTACAAGTATACATCCAGTCCCCTGTACGTCTTCATGGCATGGTGCTTTATTAATTAAGCACAGTGACAGCTCTATCTTTTACCTTTAATACAGATGCCTTTTTGGATATTTTTGTAATTATATATAATCCAGGAACTAAAGAATATGTCTGGTGTGTATTGTTCAAATTTGTGTAAGGCATCGTAAGAAGCACAGTAATCACTAATGGTTGCGGTGAAAGGGCCAGCTGTTAGGACCACTCCTTATGTATGTAAGGTATCGTAAGTCATTATAATTGATCATGGTAGTAGAATAACATGACTTGACATTGCGTATGCAGTAGTTTTGTAACAAGAAGTTTTCTGTCCCTTTGCTTTGTATAATTATGGATGGTCTTTCATGCAGCAAACAGTATCTCACTCAGCCTGCTGTGGTAGAGAAATTAAAAGCTGGAGTTAGTACTGGCAAGCACCGACTTGTGCTGGACTCTGCCTGTTACCTCCTTAACTATGTTGGTGACATCGTAGCTGCACTTTGTCCGTCACCTCCAGGTCGAGCTACGTCACCTCCTTGGGAAGGAGAACTACCACCGGAATTAGATTCGGATTGGACTGATGATTTAGGTCATGAAGATGATGAAAGTGGAGGAGAGGATTCAGTAAGTAGAGTGAAGAGTGTGTTACCTGTTGTTTTCAGTATGTTTGACAAAATGGAGTTTTATGTTTTACTTGGCTTGTCACATAGTTTTTCACACATGCTGTTGGCAAATCGTGGACAGTACTTTTAAATGGGCTATGTCCCTGCTTCTTCACTTCTTTACACTTTACTGTACATAATCACTCTTTTGGCATCGAGTAACTTCTGCAACTGAAGCAGTATTGTTTTATAGCCTAATTACCCAGCAACCAAAAATATCTATCAAAAAATAAGAAATGCCATTTTCCTCAATGTATTTATATCACAGTTATTTGAAGAGAAGATCAGAAAATAGTTCGATCATTGATCAGCTGCCTAAATGCCAGATTACGGAAGTCTGGTCAGCACTAAATTGGCCATTCCTTACTAAATGGGATTGTAATTAAAGAGTAAAGAGAAGTACACTTACCTTCAGTGCAGATTTAATATCAAGCTTTTCATACAGCAGCCCTCTTCCATAAATGGTATAATCTGTTATGTTTTCTTGCCTGAATTGTGCATCAGCAGTGTAATTGTCTATTGCTTGTGGTTGATGTTGCTTGAGAGGTCAGCTGATGAGTTCTTGAGGTTTTGTATTTATAGCATGTTCCACATTTCATATTAAGCCATTTTTGCATTTCCTTAAATTTTAATGTGGTTCTTAATTTCAGGATGAGGACAGTCTCTGTAACAAACTCTGTACTTTCACAATAACACAGCGAGAGTTTATGAATCAACATTGGTACCATTGTCATACTTGCAAAATGGTAGATGGTGTTGGTGTCTGCACGGTTTGTGCTCGTGTATGTCATCGAGGACATGATATAACTTATGCCAAGTATGGAAACTTCTTTTGTGATTGTGGAGCCAAAGATGATGGCACTTGTCAGGTAGGTATATACAATGTTTATGTGTGTGTTACATCCCCATTGAACATGTCTTACCAGAATACAAAGTTTAGAAGTTTGCTGTATAAGCTTAATTTGTGGAATATTTTGCACCATATTGCCAAGTTTTCACATATTTTGAGCAGTATTCATGTTGCTTTAGAGATGAAAAGGAAAGGTATTTCAGCCTTCCAACAGGAAGATGAAAATTTGATCAGTGAAGTAACGCTTCATTTGAATTATTTTTAATCCCTCTGGGATGTTATATGATTGAAATTGCAACGGTTTTATTTCCATGGCATGATTTCATGTGTAATAATTTGTGTATAGGCTCTAGTAAAGCGAAGTCCTCAGTCTGGTGAACAGCATATCACACAAGCATTGTCTACTAGTACACCAGGAACATTTGGCATGGAGCAGATGCTGCCAAGCTCTTTGCGTCGTCGACCATCATCTCCTGTCAATATTGATGCAAATGAACGGGGCACAAGAGACCGACAGCGACTTGCAACTTTAGCCAAACAGCTTGGTAGGTCTTCGGATATACAAAGTTTTAGAATGGTGCCATCATTTAGCTATAAGTCACCATAATAGCACAGGTATTTTGAATATTTCTGTTGTGTGAGGTGTGATTAATTTGTGTTTAATGTTTCATCAGTTATATTTGTTTTCGCCTTGTGATCGGTGGTCATCATGCTAGCAGTTTAGTTTTAGCCTATTTTCCTGTAAACAGTGTAGGCTTACGAGTATAGTTCACTATGCTATTTGTAGATGTCTGTTTATCCCTGCTTCCAGTCATTGAACTGTATGAGAATTTTTAAATAAATGTAGTGGAGAAGAGAAAAATGTCCTTTTCTATTACCAGAAACGACACCTAATCTTTCCTAAGTAGAGATTTATAAGACTCAGGTGACTTGTTATTACTGTTCTTTGTTTTTGCAGACATAACTAACAGATCTTAGTGGTATACAGTTCAGCTGTATGTATCTTGTTCAGATTGTAGGATGTTATTAACATGTGCTCTTATGTATTTTTGTCTGTGTAGAGAATTCAAGAGAGATTCTAATGGGCCATGTCTCCAGCAGTTCAGTAGTTGCTTCACTTTTGGATTTGGTTAAAATACTGATGCCTGCAGTGGAAGCATCGTGTAAGCGCCACAGCCCAGTTGGCTGCCACCAGCGAGTACAGACAGCTTTACGTGAATTGCATACGCTTGAGAAACGTTTTGAGAATACTGACCAACTTATGGTAAGGAAATCATCAGAAATTTTCATATTAACATTTGCCTGTGCAAGTAATTTTTAATACAGTTATATTAAATAAACCTCTTTCAAACTGAGTATTTCTAACTTTACTCAAAATATTATTTTCCCACCAGTGTAAGTTGTGAGTCAGTAAACAGCAACTAAACTGCCTTCACATAGGTATTATATTATATTTTAGCATCCCGTTGCAGTGAGGCATTATCCTCATTATTAAAGTACACATCAATAATGCAACATTATAAAAGACATCAAGATTATGTTACTCACTAAAAATGTATTTTAATACTTTATGATGTTAAAATGTCAATAGGACACTATAAGTATATTTTATACATTAAAAGTGATTATCAAAATTTCTGAATTGTCTAGTTTTACATGTATTTTTCTAGTTTCATGACATGTTTCGGCCTCACATGGGCCATCATCAGGTTTTTTTTTTTTTCTTTTTTTTTCCTATTTTGGGGAGTGCACTGCACTGCACTTGTTCACTGTGCTCCTTTCATGCATGTCAGTGTTTAGTTCAATCTCATGATTAGTCATTGCACTCTTTTGCATCTATTTGTACTGCAATATATGTAATGTATATTATATGGCTAGTATAAACACTTTCACAATATTTTATCATGTTTTTTTCATATATCAAGTGTTGCTGTTCTGTGTACTTACGTTTTTGTGCCTCGTATTTTGTTGTGTATGTGTCACTATTGCAGTGCTTCTGTATACTGAACATAGTGTAGTTGCTCCTGCTTATACGAATATATCATTCTAGGCAGTGTGTCTAGTGCTATCTATTGCGGTATTTCAAAGGGCAATCCAAGCATTTCATCTGATATATGCCACTATTATCATATTTTTCGATCTCAGTGTGTTGTTTCAGTATGTTGCTGATTGTGCTTTTTGTACGAAAGACTATTCTAAATTGTGTGTTTTTGAATATGAGAACACTTAGCAGAATTCATTTCACAAGGAATTCTTCATTCAGCATTCATAACAGTGGAGAAGACACACGTAGTCTAGTAAGGAATGGAGTGAGTTGTAAGCAGCTGTTGATTGTGAGCTGTTATAATTGATTTTAATTGTAAAGAAGTGCCAATAAATCCAGTCATCAAATCCCATTATTATTCAAAATGCAAACCATGAATATGTGACAATATTATGAAGATCATGTATGAATAATGTATTGGTTTTCAGTTGGGTACAGCTGGAGTGCGGATATATAGTATTTCTGCATATTTATATTAAATGTATGTTTTTGTTATTTTGATACTGATAACAGTGATATGTGAACTAATATTAGAATGTTTCATTGAAATGGGCCTCATTTTATGTTGTAAGCATAGAAGTGAAATTTATGTACATGATTTTTAACATATCCACTTATGTTTCCATAGTTCTAAGACCGGAGCAAGTGCATTATATAGCATTAACATTTCTCCATGTTTGGAAACAAACATTATTATCGTAAAGAAAATGTTTTGTGAAATTAGAATCTCAGTTTTATCATTCTGCTGGTTTGTACGTTAGGCTCAGATGCCATTGCTAGTAAGAAGTGTCTGATTCAAGAGTTCATGACAAAAAGATAGTAACTTAGTTGGTCAAGAAATTTCCCTCCTTTTATAAATCCCAAAGGTTCATTACCATGTTGACAAGAACCCAACACAGGACTCTGTTTAAAGGCAGCTTAATTTATTCACACCCTCACATTACTTCTGTTTAAAATACATGTGTATGATGTTTGTATCAATATAGAAAGTTGAACGATGCCAAGGGATAGGAAAGTGGCAATGTTGTTGATTGGGAAGGAGCTAGAAACATACTGTTTGATGTGAACAATGAGAATACAGCTGAGCGAGGGTTGAATTATTTCTGTTACAATTTATTTTATAACAGTTGATATCCTCTTTTTTTCTATTTCTCTCCTAATATATAATCAATTAATTGGAATTTTTTATGTTTAAGGTCCCAACATTAGGTTCACAGGAAGGTGCGTTTGAGAATGTTCGCATGAACTATTCAGGTGATCAGGGCCAGACAATACGCCAGTTACTTTCAGCTCACATGATTCGCAGAGTGGCCATGTGTTGCCTTTCTTCTCCACATGGAAAAAGACAGCACCTTGGTAAGTGAATGATATATTTGTTCTAAGCCTGTTGCCACATATCTAGTGCTGTGAGTTCCTGTAATGTTGTTGAGATTGTTTGATCCAAATAAATGAAAAGTTAAGTTTTCATATTTGTATGTGAGTTTACTTTGTGTATTACTGTGCAGCTGTGTCACATGAGAAAGGAAAGATTACAGTTCTGCAGCTGAGTGCTTTGCTGAAACAAGCAGACTCATCCAAACGGAAGTTGACCCTAACTCGACTAGCTTCTGCACCAATCCCTTTCACGGTGCTATCTATCACTGGTAATCAGTGGAATGAGGATTTTCTTGCTGTCTGTGGACTTAAGGTGAGTGAGTTAGTAAGGAATTCAGATGAAAATTAATTTTCTTGTGATATAAAGTTTACTAAATGCTACAGCAACATGTATGGATCAAAATTTAAGAAGAAAAGTTGTAACATTTGCATGACAGTACATTGTAAAAATTTCTTCATAGCCTTTTTCAGTTTTATACAACTACAGGGCCATATTGACTAGAATATAAAACTGACCACTCACCACCGTCTAGTGCCAGGTTTATAAAACTGACCACTCACCACCGTCTAGTGCCAGGTTAAGTATCTAATAATGAAAAAAGAACATGACTCTGAAAGTCTGAAAATGTGATGGTATGTGGCAAATGCTGATACTGTTAATCATAAGCTTATTTGGAGGAGTTACATACTTTGTTATAGTGATGTTTATGATATTTTAATAGGCATTATTGATAGTTATAATCTCTCCTTTCTAGTTTAAACAGGATGGCCCAGGCTAATTAATGTTGTCATTGAGATGCTGCTATAATTGTAATAAATCATTTTTCTGTTCCTGTCTGTTGAACTTGGGATTTCACAAATATTTCTAATTTTACATATGAATCAACTAAAGTACCATTTATAAAACTTCTGTTTTTGAATTCCAGTCTGAGCCGTAAAAACAGTTCTGTTGAGTGATAGAGTGAAATACAGTTGCCCATGCAAATTAGTACTGAACCCCTGAAGAGAGTAAGGGGCGCATCATCAGTCATCCATTGAAGTTATTGCTTATGGAGAGTTGATTTTGCTAATGAGGGAAGCTTCTTAAGTAGTTTTTGTAATTTATTATATTTTCTTAAATAGGATTGCCATGTTCTGACATTCAGCAGTGGTGGGTCTGTGGCAGATCATTTGGTTTTGCATCCGCAATTAGAAACTGGCAACTTTATCATCCGAGCCCTGTGGCTTCCAGGCTCACAGACACAGCTTGCGCTTGTTACGGCCGACTTTGTGAAAATCTATGACTTGAGCCTTGATGCCCTCAGTCCCCAGTACTTCTTCCTAGTGCCCAGTGGCAAGATTCGGGACTGCACATTTGTCTGCACTGAGGTAAGCAGTGCATTTTGAATGGGGACTGTAAATGATTTTTGTATGTAGGACTTCATTCATTGTTTTAAAATGTTACATTTTGGAAACTACTGCTTTTCCTGCCTTCGGATAAGGGGAACACAGTACGAGTATCTTAAGTAGAAACTTACGTGATGGTGGCAGACTTTAGAGTGTGATAACCTGGCAGGAGCAGAGATTTTCCCCTTTACCACTAGACTGGTTCTGTGACCCTGTCCTCAGGTTAACATGGGCTTTTCCCTAGGATTAAAGCACCTAGTTCATGGCACTGCTCACCCACCTCCATCTAGTGACAAGGTTAAGAAAGCCCAGAACTATTACGTATATTCTTCAATACATTTCTTAACTAAAGTGGGACAGCTTTACCATTTCTGTTTTTACAATATAGTGTGCTCAAGGATTTCTCATGCCGTCTATGTCTTTGCATGGTCACATAGTAGAACTTGCTGTCTGGGACAATATATATATTACACAGACAATTTGTTTATGATCTCAGCTTCCGTTCAGTTGGGTTTTCTATTTATTCAATGTTCATGTGATGAAATCCTTTTCTGTAGTTCATCTGTGGTTTCAGTCAGTTTGGTAAGGGATGGAATCCTGCCTAAAATCATAAATATACAAATTCTGATACATTGTAACTTAAACTGGAGCACCTGAAGTGAGACCTAGATTCAGCTGGGAGGATATTATAATGGATTCTAAAGAAATAGGATGTATGGACATAGGCTGAATCCGCTTGAATCAGAGAAGTTTCCAGTGATGGGGGCTTGTGAGTGCTTTTGGCTATAATAAAAGGCAAGGAATGTCTTTGTCAGCTAAGGAAGAATTCTGCTCCAGTGAATTTGTTAATAGATATTGACTGAGGCTGAGAATGCAATCCACTTGAGCCTCTATTAATTTTTATGTGGCAAGTTGGTCAGTGTATTTCTCTAGCCTTGGTTTCTGTACAGTAGTCTTAGGAGATGAGGCTCATCTTATATATGGAGTTATTCCATTTTTGTGGATACTTTAAAAATAAAAGTTCTATTCAGATTGGTGATGATGTATTTTAATTCTTACAGGACGCTAGCTCTAATATGCTACTTATGTCTTCTGCTGGTCACATCTATAGCCAGGCAATGGATGAAGAAAGTTCGGCAAAGCATGGACCCTTTTATGTTACCAATACACTTGAAGTCTATCATTCAGAAATAAAAGTGAGTGTTACATCTTCTGTTTATACTGACCACTACAAAGAATGAAGTCTGCTTGTGTGGGTTTTTGAATTGATATGAAATAAGTGGAGACGTCACATTGTTAACTGAATAAGGATTCAGATATGTTTTGTAGATTATTTGATAATGTTACAAAATTTACTGTCTTCTGGGTTGGGATCCCATGTAGTTTGTTATTAAAAATAGGCAGTTCTTCAGCCAAGATTCTCTATCAGATATGCATGCAAGAAAACGGGTATAGAAAGTTTTATCTCTGTCATCCAACTTTGATAAGTTTCGAACAAATTCAAACTTACGAGTGCTTTGTGTTTTCTGTTGCTATTGAAATGCGAGTTTGTCTACAGGACCAACATTTTCATGTTAAAATGTGTTAGTTTTGACAGATTAGAGTAACTTGGGACCATCTCCTTGAAAGTACTAATGAAAGTGCTGATTGTTTATCTAAATTTTTCATAAAATAAACTGTACTATATCTTTGCTTTTGCAGGATGTCAATGGACAAGTTGGTGGAGGTGGTGTGTCAATTTATTATTCACATGCCCTTCAGCTCTTGTTCTTCAGCTACAGCCATGGAAGAAGTTTCATAGCTCCACTTAAGTATATGGACAATGGATTGCCTGCTGTATTTATGATTAATCTGGGTAAGGCAGGAGGCAATGGAAACAAGGCAAACAATGCCCAGCCACAGCCTTTGTGTCAGTGGAGTGAAGTGCCGAATCATCCAGGACTTGTCTGCAGTGTCATGCAGAGCAGTGAGTGTTACAGATGTCAATTGCAGATTTCATGACCATAATGAGCATATTTGGGGTACGTGGTAGTGTAGTTGGTTGAGGTACTATGCTACAAGCTGGAAGGTTGCAGGTTCGAGTCCTGATGAGGTGGATTTTTTCAATTTATCTAATCCTTCCAGCTGCACTATGGCCCTGGTGTCGACTCAGCCTCTAACAGAAGTGAATACCAGGAATCTTCCTGTGGGGTAAAGGGTGGCTGGCATGTAAGGCTGACAACCTTACCACCATCTGTGAGCCGATTGTGTAGGTAATGTGGGAGCCTCGATGTCTGACAACTCTATGGGCCTTCATGGCCTGTTGCAGGGATAGCTTTACCTTTTTTTAATGAACATATTTACTTCAGTTCTCATTGTAGTGACCAAATTATGTTCTTTTGAACAGGTTGTTGACATACATTAAAAGCCATTTTTAAATTGAAGATGTGAACAGAAAACTTTTGAGCTGAATTTTAATTTATATATAAAGTACTCAGAGATTTTGTGTTCCTTAGCATGTAAAACTTGAAGCTGTTATTACATTTAAAAGTGATAAAATCTGCAGCTACTATCTGTGTGGTTCAGAACAGAATTGACGCAGTTCGTCGTCAGAGAAGATTTTATTATTTATACAGTAAGTTCATTAAATATGCGGTAGCATAGTTGGTTGAGGCACTATGCTACAAGCTGGAAGGTCACAGGATCATATCCTGATGAGGTCATTGAATTTTTTCAATTTACCTAATCCTTCCAGCCCTATGGCCCTGGGGTCGACTCAGCCTCTAACAGAAAAGAGTACCAGGAATATTCTTGAGGGTATGGGGCGGCCACCCCGTAGGGCTGACAACAACCTTTAAGCCAATTGTCTAGAAAATGTAGGAACCTCAACTTCTCACAACCCTATGGGCCTCCAAGGACTGTTACAGGGCTACCTTTACTTTTTTAAGTTCATTAATTGACATTGTTGGAAGCATTGCATAACCTTTGTCTTGACTGGGATGACCATGTGTGAGCCAGGATATCTTAGTATAGTGACTTGCTATGGGCTGGGCCACTGAGTTTTGATTTTTGTAAGATGTAAATCTCTTTCTTTTTGCCTCTATATCCAGACTGGCTCTAAGGCCATTCATCTTTAATTTAGTGGATACTGTGGACACCTTCCCCAGTTGTGAAGAAGCCAGAGCATAAAGTTGATCACTTGCAACAATCTAGATCAGTTTTACTCTATTCCCCCATATGTCTTAATTGCATGACGTGTAATTAAGCACAGGTATGATGATGGTCCTGGAACTGTTACTTAAATCTAGTACCCACTTAACAGGATCTGCTTACCCATACATTTAGACCAAGACTAGAAATGTACTTGCCTGTCGATGGTTGATGACTTTTTCTGGAGCCCTGTGTTTGTTATAATGATGAAAATGTATAATAAACTTTTTTATTTTTTTGTACCTCAGGTAACAATCCTGTAATTCTCATGCTAAAACCAGATACAGTCCTAGTTCAGGAGATTAAAGTTGTTCCTGCTAAAGCTAAGATCATGGATATGGTAGCCATCAGACACCCATCCTCTAATGCAGATCATCGCACTACACTGATCCTGCTGTGTGAAGATGGCAGCCTCAGAATCTATATGGCTGCAATGGAACAGACAGGTTCTAGTAAATTTGATGTTTGTTCTCTGAAATGTGTTGATAATTTTGTAAATTTGCATGATAGACAGCAAATGGAAGAGAATGTCCTACTTTATTTTACATGAGTATTTCAGAAGACCAGACATATTGCAGATATATGTCTGTCTGAAGTTAATTTCAGAGTACTAACTGGTGAGACACCATTTGACATGGATCAATACTGTTTTTATTAAAAGTGTTCCATGAGGGTGAAGTTTGTTCAAAAAATTCCTGAAATGAGGGTACAGAGGAGCATCTCATTGGTCACATTAGGTGTTTTTTGAGTGACCTTATGACATAACTGTTGGTTATGCAAGCCATATTCCCATAGGTTGGATGATCCATATAGTTTTTATAACCAGTTTTGTGATGGAGAGTGTTGTTATGTTGAATATGGAGTTGGTAAAGGAGCAAAGAATTTGTGGTAAAATCTGTTTCAAAGTAGGGAAAAGAGCTGCAGGAACCCACCACATGTTACGTGAAGCTTATGGCAATGATACCATGTGTCAGACTACAACCTACAAGAGGTTCAGATGTTTTAAAAATGGAAGAATTTTGGTGGATGACAGTGAGTTGTCTGGCTGACCTCAGCTTCAAGACCTGAACCTGTGATTGGCCAAGTGGAAAACATCTGTGGAGATCATTGACTGACCTTCCGAGAAGTTGCAGGAGAGGTTGGAATCCATCGATTGAGGCCACACAATTTTAATGGAAGTTTTAGCAATACATTGGGTCTCAGCAAAATTTGTGTCAAGACTCTTGACTGCTGATCTCCTCCAAAGAGCAAATGACGATCAAAATCTTTTGAAAAAGTGTCATTATCAGTGACAAGATGTAGGGTTATGGTTATGACATTGAAATCAAGCATCAGTCCTCGCACTGGAAGAGTCCTGCTTTACCTCACCCCAAGAAAGCATAACAGGTGCACTCACAAGTGAAAGCAGTGCTTTTTTCCGATCATTGAGGTTCTTCACATATGAATTTGCTCCTGAAGGTCAGACAGTTAATCAAGATTTTTATCTTGCAGTTCTGAGATATCTGTTGGATGCAGTGTGAGAAAGCGACCTGAAATGTGGACTGTGGGTAGCTGGCTTCTCCATCACAATAATGCCCTATGTCACACAGCACTGTCAATTAGACAGTTCTTGGCAGAACATTGAATTCATAACCCTTCACCTAACCTCTCCCCTTCTGACATATTTGTATTCCATGAACTCAGAATTACCTTTAAAGGAAGAAAATTTCAGACAGTGGAAGACATCATCAGTAATGCAACAAATTCACGACTTGTAGGCAGTAACACAAACATCCTTTGAACAGTGCTTCCAAAATTGGAAAAGGCGGTGGGAGAGGTGCAGTTCTGCACAAGGGGACTATTTTGAAGGGTGTAATATTCAGTAAACCCTAAGTAGAGAAATATATTATTTTTAGACAAATTTCAGGAACTTTTTGAACACCCCTCATGTGCTTCTTTGGTAATGGCAGACATTCAGCCTCTTTTCACACTTCTGTTTAAGTCCTAAGTAGCATGTCACTAATTAGTGATGTTGTGGCATGATGAATGCATTCCTTTAGTATTGTATTTCTGATAATGGTGAAATATAAAGCTTAGAAGCCATGAGTTTAGTCCTGCAAGCTTAACTCAGTCAATGTTCTGTTAGCTGGTCAAGCAACTGTTATACTGCCAGATAGTAGTGACAGTGGGCTATTATGTTGTTTAAACCTGTTGCTCCACAGAGCTTTGCAGCTTATCCGGATGGATTATCCCAGTAATAGTGTTTACATTTGTGCCACTTAGGTACCCTCATAGGCTTCCCAGATGATGAGTTCTTTTCAAATTTTATGTACTGTTATCTTTGCATGATGATCACAGATTATTAGCATCTTACCAGAGGCAAAACTGCACTTTTATTGCAGACTTAACATTTGTTTATCTCACAGTTACAATGCAAGTATTAGCTAGAGGAAGGAATGCTACTTTTGCAGGAAACTTCTTGCTTGTCCGTACCAGTTGACTCTGATTGGTTGCAGCCTTAAATTGACTTTCCATTGTAGGGTCAAACTGTACAAATATGTTTTCATTCTAAAGTTGCCTGTTATGGCTCTTGAAGTTTTAGCACATGCCATCATCTGTTGCTTGTATAGTTGATTGAAATATTTTTCTTGGTGGTAGGATTTTGGCTGTCTCCAAATGTACAGGCAGTCAGTACTATGACTGCAATGAAACCAACAAGGAAAAAGAAAGTTGCCAAAGCTGGAAAACCACCAGGTAAGCATCCAGGTATTTTTAAACTATTGTGAAATGTGAATGTTTCTTAACCCTTACACTGTTGTGGTCGACATATGTTGATCTCTGAAAAACATGGTGTCCTTGCTGTGATCGACGAAACCTGTATTGCGAATTTAGAGTTTCAAATCTCAGGTTTATTTGCATCGATGTCATTCAAAATTGCCGGGTGCAAAGAGTCATCTATTGGGAACGTAATGAAGCATTATTCATTTCAATGGCTGCAATCTTTTGCCCTCTAGCTTAAGAAATATAAAAGGTTGCATCTGCACAGTGAAGCACACGCTCCGTGGTTTTGTGACCTGGGTATTTCACAGGGCTGGTAAAAATGGCTTCATATAGTGTGCGGTGCTTTCTGTAATAGTTTTAAATAAAGTTGTGGACTTTGGTCAACATGTGACATAGTGATAAGACTAGGATAGTGAGTGAATTATGTACTTTTTTGGCCATCTTGGGCAATCCTGATTTAAACGGACTTTTCCCCTGTGAAAAATACTGAATAATTCAACATTTTTGCAACTTCTGCTGCCTGTTCCCTGTCTGAGGTAAGATCAGTTACATTTATCACAAATTTTCATACTTTGCACTTAAATTATTTATAAAAGATTTATTCAAAAATAATTCAGCACAGAGGGTACTGAGAGTTACTTAACATACTAGCAGTGAAAGGGTTAAGAAGGATATACTCATGTTATGTATTTGACTGGTGTGTTTGCCAAACATAACTTTCTGTTCAGTGCAATGTAATGCATCACACTTTTAACCTATTTATAAGTACAAAAATAGTGTTTCCAGGCAGATTTGAGAGGTTGATATCATTTTGGATGCACTAATGTGACAGGATATTAGTGCACTGTGTTTCAGACCATGAGACTTGTGTTGCCTTTAAAATTAAGTTAGTATGTATTAAGTGAAACACGTTGGTAACCATTTATATTGGGTAAGAAAGTAAATTGAGTTTCTCACAGAGGAACAAGGAAGATACATTTCTTTCCCAAATTTCTGTTATCAACAAAGTACTTTTATTATATGGTAAACAGAAATGTTCAAGTGTCCAGAGATTTTAGTGTATATATTTATTGCATATGAGCTAATTTTTATAGAATAGTCATCATGCCTAAATTGGATATATCAGTAAACTTATTGTGTTCCATGGAAAATATATGTCTTCAGTTTTTTTGTATGTGTTCTGTAGTTTGCTACTGTTAGAGGGTCAGTGCTCTTGGCTAGGAAAGGTAGTTTCTCTTCATGTGGGATAATGGTATTAAGGGCTAGTCATTTAGTCCTTGGTATTTTCTGTGCTTATTCACGTGTAATAGAGTTTATATCATATGTAGGCAGTATGCTGAGTTAAACATTGGGCACAAATTTGGCTCTTTTGCATCCAGCTTTGGTAATTGTAACTATGTTGAACACTGGTTGTTTAAAAATATGGACATACACAAAATAATTTTAAACGAGATAGAAATGTGTTTCATACATATGCATTAGAAAAAAACAACTCTTTGGTCTTAGTCCGCAAGTGAACTATACCGACCGAACAACTGCCACTTGTTGGCAAAGATAGTGCCAACTATTGGTTTTGGTATTCAAGACTGGAGCCAATATTTTCTTGAAATAGCTCCTCAGTTGTCCTCACGAGGCTGAGTGGACCCTGTTCCAGACCCACTACTACTCAGAAAATCTGGTAGTGCCAGGAATCGAACCCAGACCTCTGGATCTGTAGCCAGGAACTCTGACCACTAGACCACAGACGCGTTCTACATACACATTCATTAATTGATATTGTAGTTATAAGTCCATGCTTTCATTTCCTGTATTCACAGTCACAGATGTGGAATAATTAAGAGCAATGATTTCATGTGAGCTGTATCATCCTCTATTGTAGGAATGGTGACTTTTCCAGTAGATTTCTTTGAACACTGCCAAGCAATGAATGAAGTGGAATTTGGAGGCAATGACCTACTGCAAATTTATAACACGCAACAGATAAAGCATCGTCTCAATACTACAGGTAATGTAATGTAGTATGGTAATGTAATGTAATGTAATGTAGTATACTGAAACGCTCCTGTACAGCAGAAGCATTCAGGGATGCATTATGCAAAAAATATATACAAATTTAGTGAGAGGTAATGTGAAGGAAATGCCGCTTGGAAGCAAGGGTAGCCTATGGCAGAGGCCCCACTGACATTTCACACCTCAGAGTATAGAAGTACTTTAATGAATTAATGATTTGTTTGGATGTAGTATGGCATAAAAGTGGTTTTATAGATTTGTAATTTATTTACATTTTGCGTGGCATAGAAAGCTTTTCCAGAATCAACAGATAAGTTCCTTAGGTTGCTGAAAGTGCATGGAGAGCCTTGTCTCATGAGCCATGGCTTTAGCTCACTTCTCCTTTGAAGTTACTTACATTTGCTTATGGTGGTCAGTTGATGTCATACCTTCCCACAAGCTCTTTTGTTGTTTTGGGGCCTGTGGATGCTAGCCCTCATAGAATTTCATGTGTAGTCATGTCTGCCCCACATGACTGAATGTAAGTTATTCTCATATCATATGCCCACTGTTCTTCCCACCAGAGACAATAAATGGTTTGGCTGTAATGCAAGAAAAGCACTTCTTAGCAATTTAAGTTTCTTGTGTTATTTATTTATGTGAGTTTAAATAAGATTGTATGACCAGTGCATGTGTATCTTTCAAGGTGGCAGTCTGCAATATAAATACAGCTGAAATTTTTTTAGAAACCAAAATGTAAATGATGTACTGTTTAGAGGCAGTGTTAAAGCAACAGACTAGAGTATAATTTTAGTGCTGGTGCTAAGGAGATACAGTACATGAAAAGAAGCTAAATGAAGGAGTCTCTAAAGTGAATGTAAAGGCAATTTCACAGTGATTTGGTATCAGATGTATCTTTGTCACTGTCATAAAAGAACTTAAAATGAAAATGTGAGGAATATATTGGCTGTGGCCCAGTAAACATCAGAAACAGTGTCTTGTTGGGTTTGTATGCATTCCTACTGAAGTAGCTACATTTTAAAGCCACTAGTCTGTTCATCCAGTTGTACAGTTGGGTGGTAGAGGACACAGATGAGCCTAATAGCCCTGACCAACGGGAATTGTATTTCTGCCAAGAGCAGTAAGATGTTGACCTGCAGGTCAGAGTGGGGAGCAGCCCCTGTCTGTAAAATGTCCTCAACACAAAATGAGCCAGTAGTTTTCAGAAATGGGTGTTATGTAACATAAAATGTGAGCATTAAAAAAATAAATATCCTGTCCCCTTAAATGTGGGTGTGAGGGGGTGAAATTTTTACTGGTCTTACTCCCATCTCTTAAGCTAGTCTTGAGCTGCCCGTGTTTGGAGGTTAATGTCAAAATGGTTCCTAAAACAAATAGGATATGAGGGTGTATATTGGATTTTACCTGGCTCGGAGTGGAGTCCAGTGGCTGGCTGTTAATGTAGTATTGTTCCTTCATGTTCTCTCAAAACAATTTATTGACTAGTTGAGTGTCTAGCAGCATCTGGAGAAAAATTTTATTCCATTAAATTTATTAGATGATGAATGATAAGAAATTATATTGTGCTAAATGCAAGTTTACAGTTGGAACTGAAATAACAATTTATGAAAATAGAGCTTTTTTTTCATTTCGTGCACCCTGTTGTGTTTCTTTATTGGAGTCTGTTGTAACAAACAACATAACGGTTAAGGTCAACATTACCTTAGCTACATGTTTTTTCTTTCAAAGCCATCATCAGGCAAAACACATGATTACTATATTCACACACACCTGAACTGCAATTTCATTGTAACAGTAAAGCTGGATACTTGAGAACTGTTACATTATAAGATACGAGGTATAAAAATATAATGAATTATAAAATTATTATAAAACGAAAGTTATGGAATAAAATATGGTTAAAAACTCTTCATGTGATATTGCATATTATGAAGTAATTTTGTTGCAATCTTGTTGTTATATTCCAGCAGACATATGGGTGTATTCAAGACTTGTGTGTGTGTATATATATATATATAGTAAACTGCTTGGAGGCCTGTGGTATAGGTGTAGTATTATTTGACATTAATTATTTGGCCGGTGCCTCATTTTACAACGTATTTTGTCCGCTCTGTTGGGAATACAGATTGCAACTATGACAAACATCAGAGAAGAACTAGATTATCACTCCCACTAAGATTATGATTACAGGTATTGGAGAAAGAAAGAAATGAACAGATAAAAGTAGAATATAATTTATCATATACACGAGACCAAAACATATAAGTGGAAGTACATGTACTGGTATATGTTTATTTCTCCCTTTTTCTTTCTTTCTTTCTTTCTTTCTTTCTTTCTTTCTTTCTTTCTTTCTTTCTTTCTTTCTTTCTTTCCTCCCCACATTTATTATTTATTCATTTCTTTTACTTTTAATTTGCAGCGTAGCAGCTGATTAAGGACCTCAGCAGAGGCTTCCTCTTGTTCTTGGTTAACAATTGTTATTGAAAAAAGATTTTGATGTAGAAAATATATATCATTAGTTTATACATAATTAGTCCTGAAATTATGTTTATGCTATCATAGGGATGTATGTTGTATCTACAAAACCAGCAGGATTCAGCATTGAAATAACAAATCAAGACAATTCACTGGTGATGACAGGAGTCCGTATAATGCTTGGTACCCAGGATTCTCAGAGAGCACCTTCATATGTTGAGGTACATGTATTTCTTTCATTTGCTGTAAGTTGAATGAATTATAAAGAGGAAGGGACTACAGGCTTAGTTAGATGAAGCACTTCAGTGTTTACTCTATTTTTCTTTGTGCTCAGTGTAGTTTGAGTTGATATGCTGTTTACATAACGTAAGTCAGCGAAGGTGGTACGCTTTGTCTTCATCATATTTTAGTTTCAGCTTACACATTCTGCAGTGACATCTGTATTATGATGTGCAATCTGAAAGCATTGTGATGAATGTAACTTAACTAGAAGTTAGTTCAGGTGGTAATGTTTCTGATGTGTAATCTGGAGGTACTGGTTTGAATCTTGGCCAAGACACTGATGGACCTGCCTGGGGGTTTAGTGGTTTCCCTTAGCTCCCCTCCCCCAGAAAATGCCATCTCAGTGCCCTAAAATTAGGCCATGTCTGCTTTTTGCCACACCCTTTCCAATTCTTTGTTCACTCATCCAATTAGCATATTATTCAACAGATTATATTATACCATCATTGAGGAGATGCGTTACATACTAGCTGCAGTAGTGCAGTTCTTCAGCCAGTTAGGAAATTATTTGATCATTTTGATATGTGACATCTTAACTGTTACACTTATATTAATAATGATCTTAATAAAAGTATCATTCATTATAACAGGTTTTATTAAGATGGCTGTTATTTGATCATAACTCATAACTCTTTAAGGTCACGACTTTGATCTTGCAAGTGCTTTTACTGTGCTGTGATTGGATATACCTTCTCAGTTTCGACACAAAGGCCTTGCTTATCTTGTTGTTTTTCAGCAGTGTACTATTTGATATGTCAAGATTGTGCCATGGTACAGTGTTTCTGCTTATGCCAGAGGACCAGATCCCTGAAAACTGATGAGGATTCAGCTATGACAGATTATTAAAATTTAAGTTACATGTTTGTTTTTCAGGTATTTGGCCGCAGCATTCAGACAAGTGTTGCAAGAAACCGTTGGTTTGACATGCCATTTACAAGAGAGGAAAGCCTTCAAGCTGATAAGAAACTGATTCTTACATTTGGACCTTCTCAAGATCCTGAAGGTGTCACCATGGTAGATTCTATCAAAGTGTAAGACACATTATTTTGTATTGTTTTGAATGTTTCAGACACATGAAATGGTAGTATGAATGTTGATGAATGAAACCTGTTCAGGGATTGTTGTAGCTAAGGGAACAGAGGCCAATAAAAGTAGTCTACATTTGCAATGAGGCAGGCATACCATTGACACACTGGCTGATGGCTGTCTTCCACAAGTAACTCCCTGGGCTGCTACTGGAACCACTGCACCTTTGCTATCTTGCCACACATGCTAACTGGGTTTCATTTGCATATCCCTTATATTACCATTTCTTCAATTACCATAAAAAAAGGTATCCCTGGAACAGGCCGTGAAGGCCCATAGGGTTGTGAGACTTAAGGTTCCTGCATTTTCTCTATGCAGTCGGCTCACAGACGGCAGTAAGATTGTCAGCCTTACATGCTGGCCGCCCTTTACCCCCAAGGAAGATTCTTGATACTCATTTCTGTTAGGAGCTGAGTTGACCTCAGGGCCATAGCGCAGCTGGCAGGATTAGGTAAATTGAAGAAATCTACCTCATTTGAATTTGAACCCGTGACCTTCTGGCTGGTATCATAGTGCCTCAACCAACTATGCTCCTGCGTGCTCCTGCCAATACCATAACTACATTTTCATTTATTCTGTCAATATTTCAGTTAGCATAGAATGTTTCTGAACAATATTTTTGTCAACATAGGCATGTGATGCAGTTTCTAGAACAGACTGAAGAAAGTTCTGTATGAATGCATACTAACTCCATGGAGTATAATGTGTTTTGAGGAACTGCTGGTCACACAAATGGCCATATTTGATGCCTTTTATGGAACTTGAAGGTTCATTATGACTTTCAGAAGAATATACCAATAGACCCTATTCATCATTCCTTATTTAAGATCCATTTTTGTATAATTCTTCTGCCTATATATAGGTATCTTAAGTAGTCTTTTCTAAATGCAATCTGCATGTATAGAATTTGGTAATATTTATTTGATCTCAGGTCATTTATTTAACATTTCTGTTTGTGTAAATGCTTGCAGGTATGGAAAGACAAAAGATGCCTTCGGTTGGCCAGAAGAAACAGAAGATCTTGCAAGTACATCAGCCACTGCAACTCAGACAGCTGCAGGAACGAGCACAGAGTCTGATAATGTAGCTGTTACCCCAGTACAACTTACATCTTTGGACAGGTGTGATTCTATCGCATGCACATTTTGTATTATACAAGTATGATAATGTTGAGTGAGATGTACAAATTATTTTAATCCATGAATGGGGGAGAAAAGTTCTGGATAGGAACTAATGGAGGAATATCATTGAGGTGTTCGAGATCTGCACTGGACTTTATAGCACCATGAAGGAGAAGAAACGTGGGTTGTAAATAAGTTGTACGATACAGTATGATAAATTTTCTTTGCCAATATAATTATTAAGTCCTTATATATTTCAGAATGATATCTGGAGTCCTGGAGGTTCTGGATGGATGTTTCACATTGCAAGGCAGTGCAGCAACAGATGAAAACAAGACAGCACAGAGGACAGCTGCTGTGGAGGTGGCTACTCAACTTCTTACACTTCCAACTCCCATATGTGTTCAGCTTCATACAAAGTGTCTCCTGGCTGCATTACACCCCACACGAGCAGCTTATCACAACTATAAGGTATGTCTGATACCTTCAGCACTGGAGTGATAACATGTAGTCCTCCCTGACCTGCATATCATGTGTGATAGGGTTGTGATCTTGCCTTTAACCTTCTGATGTTATGTTTTGTGATAGCCCGTATGTCAGTACTTTTAATTTAATTTGAATTTTGAAATTGTTGAACTCAGTCTTAACATTAGGAAGGAACATCATTTTCCAAATAAATTTGGCTCAGTAGAGCTCCCCATTTTTCTGACTACTTGCTGAATGATCACTGGCAATCAGAATTTTGAGATTAAACCCTACAGTGGAAAGAATGTGATTTACATGAACATTGGAGATGGCCTGACAGAGGATCTGGAATTTAAAGATGTTTTGCATTAGAAGTAGAAGGGCTTTGTTCATTTGATCAAGCAGCTGGTATAAGCAAGACTGAAAAGATGTAATCCTTAATGGAACAACTTTCATGAGTTGCTTGCACCTTGACAGTAAATTTCATGAATTCATCAGAGTAAAAGTACTACATACCTCATTGCTGAATATCACTGTCGTTGCCTTCAAAGTACTCCTCTTGGGAATCTATGCACTGATGCCAGTGCCTTGTCCACCCTTCAGTACAGTTTATAACTGTTTTTGTGGAATGGCCTTCAGAGCTGCCATCATATTACTCCTGATGTCATCAATGTCATCAGAATGCTTTCCTTTCAATATTTCCTTTATCTTTGGGAACAGGAAAAAGTCACTGGGGGCCAGATCCGGTGAATAGGAAGGGTGTTCAAGCACAGTTATTTGTTTACTAGCTAAGAACTCCCTCACAGACAGTGCTCTAATTCAAGCTCCGACATTCTCATGATGGCACACCAAAACACACTCAAACAGTAATACACACCACTCAGAAAGAGACTGCTATAGATCAACAACAACACAGCTCTGAAACATAGATATGCCAACATCATCAAACCATACTGAGGTTTCTGTCCACTGCTGCCAGGGCAAGCACACGGTGGCGAGTTTGCAGACTTCATTCTCAGACCTCGTATAGGAAATGGAAGCACTGTAAGCATCCCTCCTGATCGTCAAACTCAATTTAAGCCAGTGAACTTTTGTCAGTAACCATATGGTTTTAATTTAAATTTTAAGATTAATATTTTATATTTGAAGGCATAATTTGTTTCATAATTTGTGTTCTTCACACAATGTTATTAGGGTAATATAATCAAGAAGAATGAGATGGGAAGGAAATTTGGCATGCCTGGAGGAGATGAGAAATGCATACTCTATTTCAGTAAAAGTCAAATTAAAGACCATTTGGGAGGGGTTAATATAAGAAATGGGCCTTAAGAAATGTGAAGTAGATTCTACTGGGTGAGGATAGGATCTACTTTGCAAGCTCTTTCAAGCATGATATTGAACCTTTGTATGCTAGAACTTTCTTCTCCATTTGTATGACTTTTTCTCAATAAGAACTATGTTCCATGAGGTTATGTACAAAGGATTAGTGTTATAAAGCATAGCTTTTTATTGTTTATGAGAAACGCTTCTTGATGTTTTGACAAATACCTGATTGAATTATTTCTTACAGGATCAGGCGCTGCTGAACCATGTTTGTCAGTCACTTTCTGTCTTGGCAGAAGTACGTGATCCAAGGGACCTTGACGCAGAAGCTTTCTATCGACTAGTCCTAACTGCTAGAGGTGTGGCAGTAGCGAGGCCATACAACTTGGCCAAGTTTGCAGAACAGCAGCAGGACAAGACTCCAGTGAGTGAAGAATCTCCAGGTTAGTTCTTGCAATTTGTTTGTGACTGTTAATGTAATTACTGACTTCACATATTTGTATCTGGATAGGTTCTAGACAAAAATTTTGCATACATGTTGATTTTTTTTTAATTAGGAGGTATATTTGTGTTGTGTATAATAAAAAATTTCTTTCTTTCCTGTTTCCTTCTGCACGAAGCAGGCCATTTGTCATTTACAGGACTTAAGTATGAAGTGGTGTATGATGTCACATTTTCTGTTAGAACCTAGATTTAGTAAGTAAGAATGATTCATTGTTTCTTTCATACAGTGCATCTATTTTGATGTGCCAGTTAAGAGGTTAAGTATCTGTTATTGTTACATAGTTTATGTAGTTTTATAATTATTCATCCATAGGATTTAATATACATGTATTTCATTATCATCATAATCTTTTTCCATTACAGATATTACAAAACAGAAACCATAATTTCAAAGATTTTACATACTTCTTTTTCCATTTGGTTTATATTGTAGAGTCTTCTTTTTTGGAACCCTGTTAATATATTCTTTCCAGTTTCTTGTGTGCTGATACGGTTGAATATTGTCCCGACATAGGGACAACATCAAATCAGTGGGTCTGCCTCCAAACAAATTATCCAGTTTCCTCTGGCCGGTCAAAGATAGCCTGGGACTAAGGACACCGGTTGTGTACAGTATCCCATGTGAGTGCGGCAAGGTCTATATTGGGCAGACGGGCCACTCTGTGGACATGAGGTTGAAGGAGCATCAGCAGCACATCCGTCTCGAATATCTGGACAAGTCAGCTATAGCTGAACACAGAATTCAGCTTCAGAATACCTCCATCCTTGCCACCAAGACCCGATATATGGATCGCATCATTAGGGAAGCCATTGAGATTGAACTCCATTCCGAAAATATGAACAGAGAGGGGGGTTCTGTCTCAGCAAGTCATGGAAGCCTCTCATCTGTTCCCTAACCCCCCCCCAGGACATGACGCCAGATCCACAAGGCTACACAGGCCATGACCGACTAACATAGCAAACCCCCAGCTTAAGGGTTACTGCCCTCCCTTTAACCTTGCCTTTCTCTCCCCTGACACAATATCCTATACAAAACCCGGCTTCTGTCCCAGCCCCTTCCCCCCTCCCACTGATTTCCCATGTAACCTTCTCCCCCCCCCTTCCTTCACTGCTCTCACATAGCTGTGTTTATTTCCAACATCAGTGCAGTCTGCTTGCACCGGTTCTCACTGTCTCTTCGCTTGCGGATTTTCTTATTTTTCCTTCTACCCTGAAGATGGAGGCGATACGTTCCTCCGAAACGTCGGTTAACACCTCATCTACACGGTGCCACATCGAAGAAGACTGCTTTCTTCATAGTCACTGCCGTGAAAACCTCAAATCTTACATTTCTAATATTTTGCTTCTTTTATCAGTTCTGTCCATGATTTACTACCGCAAGAATATATTGGTTTGCAAGTGTCTTATTAATTCAGGAGCTTGTTGAAAATGTATGATCTTTTAAAAATAAGCATTTTCAGTATTTCAGTGCAGTTTATTTTAAGAAGATCCTTAGTGAGGATTGACACTTTATGATTTTAAATGTCAGGATTTCAACAAAGGTGTGTGTTGTTTCTCTCTCATGAGTCTTCATGCAACATCTTTTGTGTCTGTTATAGCTGAGATATCAGATGCTGATAGGAAGATGAACCCAAGCACCAAAATAGAGCCAGTCAATGGTGGTCGTCATCTGATGTTACAACTGATAAGTGCAATGTGGCTCTTGCATCAGGCCCACCCAGCCAACATGGCGCTTGCTCCAGTCTGTGTTCCAGGTGAGATGTGTGTTAAATCGTACAGACTTAGGTTTACACTATTTAAGAGTACTGTTACTGAGCACAAAATAACTTTTTAAAAATAATTTTAATTTTTGGTATTAATATGTGGTACTTCATTCTTTTCTCATTTTTTTTTAATCTGTGGGATGAGGGGCAGATGCCTAGTTCCCCCCAACCACCACCAGAAACTTCCATATATCTGGGTGATCAAAAGGTTATATTGTAAGACTGTCTTGTCCACTTACACTTGACAAAGAGCATGTTTTCCAGAAATATCCCTGCTTTTATGTAATTTGTAAATGATGTCCTTACTGACTATGAAAGCATGTTTATTGCATCTAAACCGAGCCTTTTTATTCTCCCTCTTGATGATAGGTTCATGCTTGGCATGCTTTTGCAAAGAATAGAGCTTACTTCAACTTCTTAGATACTAGAATTAAGCGTCCTGTGTAGTCTAGGGGTAACGTTCCCACCTCATGACTCAAGGTACGCGGGTTCAAACCCGGCGGAGGTCGTGAAATTTTTAAGGGCGGAAAAATTCAGGGAACAAGTCCTCCGGTAGGGACTTTAAGCCGTGGGTCCCGTGTCATAGATTTACGGCACGTAAAAGATCCTGACGTCTCTAGGAGACCTCTGAGAAAAATTAATTAGGCAACAATTTCCTGCCCAAGTAATTTCCAACGCCTCTGGTAGATGGGGGAAATATCAGGTACCGACGGCTGACCTCATTGGCTGAACAGGGCTGTTAGCACGCACCAGTACCGGTAGGGTATGGGGACACTAGAAATTAAGGGGATGCACAATGAACCAATAACTGGTCTAAGTGCATGGGGAAACCCACCCCCTCTAATAATAATAATAATAATAATAATAATAATAATAATAAAATAATAGATACTAGAATTTATTTACCAATTGTGTTATTTTTATGCTTGACATTTTATTATATTATGTATGAGCAGAAATATGAAAGGAAGTTTGTTTGAAGACTAATTAATCTGTTTTCCTTACTCAGGTTTGACACATGTTGAAGCCACTGTCCATTCTATTGTTGAAATTATCCATGCTTTTACAACCTGTGACACAGAATGTACAATTACATTGGCAACAAAGCTGTATATGGAATTACTTTTGAGTGAAGACACCGCTGTGAGTTTCAGCGCGAAGCAAGCTATCATTAGAGTACTGCGTCCGCGTTTGAGACGTCGCAGGGTTTTAATCCCCAGTCCTCCACACTGTAGCACACCAGGTAATAGCATGCAAATGTAACATGCCTGCCTGAATTTTTTAGTGTCAGTTTGAATGCTATTTTTGGTACATTTATCAAGTATTTTAACATTATGTTATGAATTCTATTTTGTTAGGTGGGGCAACAGAATTGGAATCAGAAAAGGGCCCAGTCTCACAGCCTTCCCAGGATTCAACAGAAGAGCAGCATTATGAAGTAGACAGTGTGGAACCAATGGTGTTACTTGCCCCAGATGCAGGTTAGTTCACAGTACAATATGTGGCCTTAATTGCATAGTGGGATGTAACTTACATCAAGTAGTATGCTTTTAAATTGATATGGAGTAATATATAGCGAAGTTCTGCTACTGAAACTGTTTAATTAAAGAAATTGTCATTCTGGGTGTTTGTGATAGTGATTTATCATGTCAGTAGAATTTCTTTGTATGTTGCCCATTTNTCATTTTCATTCCTGAATTTCTCTGATATCGTGGGAAAGTTCGATGTGTCTGCCCACCCTCACTTTCTCTACTTGCTGACGTGACTGTCCTGGAAGAATACGACCGCGGGCTGCAAGAGGAGCGTGGGTTTTATGCGAAAACAAGGGTGTGGGGTGGGACTGCGTGAATAGTGCAAGAGGACGCGGCAGGTTGTTAACTGCATTCCTTTCCTAGAATCTCGTCTAACAGGACCTCACATTGTCTACTTACCCTATAGTGTTCCTGCCTAAACCCAGAGAAGTGCAGTAGCGAAAACATGGCAATGGAAAGGAATGTTTTAAGCATTGAAGAGAAAGTCAAAGTGATTCGAGAAATATTGTGTGTATTGTCAGTGAAAAGCACTGTAATATGTCTTTGATATTACACATTTGGGCAATTCTACGTTAATGTTACGTTAGTCTGTACTTAACTACGTATTTCACTAAAAAATGCAACATTTTAACTCAGTTTTTGGTAGATTTTTACGTGACTAACATAAGGCCACTGTGGAAGTGCCCATTTCGGTTACAACGACATTCGTTTATAACGACACTATTTTTAGGTCCCTTTGATGACGTTATAACCAAGTTCTACTGTATATCAGATACAGGTTCTCTCTCCATCTGCTTTGAAGGGTCCTGTGGAGTAGGCTCATTTTCCTTGCACTTGAAAATGGAGACAGATCCAGACCGAGGTTTACATATTTTTGTCAGCACAGTGAACTGTATCCAAAGGAAATTGTCCCGTAATGGAGATTTTCATACTTTCCACAGTAATGGTTTTGAAGTACATAGGGATTTAAAAGGAAAGCCCAGTAAACTGTAAAACTTAATTGTTCGAGTATATTTACACATGTTCAGTGTAATATAATCCTTCCATCTTTTCCATGGTATAGGAAGTGACCTCTGTGTTCGAAATTTTTCAAACCACCGTTCTTTAATATTGTTTCAAATGATTCATTTGCTTGAGTATTCACTGGAGGGACTATGTAGCATATGTTAAATAACTACAGTTAACAATTGTGGATAAGTTTTAAAAGAAAGTTCATATATTATATTTGATAAGAATCCCACAAGATTTTGCCAGATGTGTCATAACATTTGTTCAGATTGAAGCATTGTAGGGTGTATTGATTTGTGATGTATTAGGTGTTCAGAAGGAGAACTGTATTATAGGTGCAGGTGCTACTGGTGTGTCTGTGAATGTGAACCCTATTGAAGCCTTGCTTGGTGCTCCCGGAGCATTCCCACCACTACTGGACATCCCTCCTGATGCAGATGATGAGACTATGGTGGAACTTGCTATAGCCCTTAGTCTGCAAGTAAGCAAATTAATAGCAGTTATCAGAAATAGGTTAGCAGTAGCTGGCATATTTGATTAACATTGCAAAAGAATAGTAAGTAAGCTGGAATGTTATAAATGACATCATTTTAAGTAATAAAGACCTTTTTGTGGTTTTAGAAATTTTGCTGGTCGTTTTAACCATCTGTTGCAAATCTAATGGTACCACAGGTGCACACAACGTATCCATGATTCTGCTGTTATTGTATTTCTTTAAATATGTGCTATTTTGAAAAATATATGAAGTGAAGGTACTACATAGTGCGGCTGTAAAATAACTGGACTCATGCTCTAAAATCTGTCATTCAACTAATCACACAATGGAAATGTTATATCACCTTCAAAGTGATCCCCTCCTTGACCTCTACATGGATCAATGCAAATTTTCCACTGTTGGAAGCAATGCTGTAGCATCTCTTCTGAATGCTTCTTCATTACCTCCATCGCTTTTGCCTTCACTGCATCTGTGGATTTGAAACGGGTTCCTTTTAATGCAGACTTGATCTTTGGAAATAAAAAAAGTCGCATGGGGCTAGGTCAGGTGAGTAGTGTGGATGTTCCAACATGGGGATCTTGTGCTTCGCCAGAATAGTCTTGACAGACAGTGCACTGTATGCTGGTGCATTGTCATGGTGAAGAATCCATGAGCCGTTCTTCCACATTTCAAGTCTTTTTCTTCTCACCTGTTCATGAAGGATTGTCTAAATATCCTTATAGTAGAACTGGTAAACGGTCTGACCTTCAAGCACCCAATCAATGTGCAATGTGAACAGTCCCTTGGATATTGAAAAAAAGATCATTGCTTTGAAATTGGACTTGCTCTTGCATACAGAGATACTGGGTTTTCGGACTTTGTCCATCGTCTGGATTCTAAATAACTGAGGTAAAAAAACGTTTCGGAAACTGGATCTGTTTCCGTCCTCAGGTGAGGGAAGACACCTACTCTGTTGGGTCCCTTAGAAAGAGCTAGCCTCAATCACTGGACTAAGAAAAAGGAAACCCAGTATCTCTGTGTGTTATACACCATTGTCAGAACCCTATAGTATCTACTTTCTGTTGCATGTGTTTTTTTTTCTTTCTTTCTGGTGACCTGTGACTCTTTAAGTGCATGGATTGGCACTTAGTTTCTGGGTCATGCTGAAAAAGGCATGATTCATCACAAGTTCCAGTNCCCAGTGCCACTTTGTCCACCACAAATCCCACTTGACCAGTCCTGGTTCGTCGCAGAGGGATGCCAGCGACTAACTGCTTGAACTATGGCGCAGCCCTGCGCTTACCATGTGACACCCTCTATCTGGAAAAGTTAGCACAAACTTTGCTGACAAGCGGCGGTCGCTTGGTCGGTATAGTTCGCTTGCCGATTAAAACCACAGTGTTTGTTTTTTTTTCTTCATCACAAGTTATTACATTTCCTAAAAAGTCTGGACCATTTTCAGTGTTTTGAAGGATGTCAGTACAAATGTTCATTCGAATTTCCTTTTGCTCAGGAGCGAGGATTCTCGGCACCACCTTCGAGCAGACCTTTTCATGTTAAAATGTTCATGTAAAATCTGTCGAACACTTTCTTTATCACTGTTAGCTAATTCAGTAACTGCTCAAATGCTCAGGCAACGATTTTTTCAAACAGTTTCACTGACTTTTTCAATGTAAGCATCTGCTTTTGATGTGCAAGGCTGACCAGGACACAGATATGTCTTCGATCTCTCCCCTTCCCTCTTTAAATCTTTTGAACCACTCGAAAACTTGAGTATGAGATACACACTCATCACCATAAACTTCATCAACAAATTGTACATTTCTGTAGCGGATTTTCCACATTTTGTCAGGAATTTCACATTGACACAATACTCTACTTTAACATATAACATAATTCTGACGGATCTCAGATACACAGTCTGCTTTAAACGAAGGCTGCTACCACATTGTTGGCTGTATGGCTTTGGAAGTGGTAGGGTTGATAGAAGGGAGAGGACAGGCTAATATGCCACCCTGCTAGCTGTTGCCAAGGCCACAGGGAGTTGGAAAAAATCAGTCTGGTTCACTCCTTGTATACCCTAATGTGGTTTGTATTTTGTATCATGAACCCATATTTCATACATTGAACTTCTTTTAACAAAACTGAGGAAGTTCAAGATTATTTTTTTTTTAAGATAGAAGGCTTTGCTGAACTAATTTTGTTCAAAATTAAGTTAAAACTTAGAATTACTGGGTTTTTGGACTTTGACCATCATCCAATATTGTACATGTACCACACAACACAGTGTTTCCGAAAATGGTTCAGTTTCTGTCCTCAGATGAGGGGGGAAAGGTTTAAAATACCGGATGATGGGCAAAGTCCAAAAACCCAGTAATTCTGGGTGTTATATGCCATCATCAGAACTCTTTATTATTGTTGGTATTACCCTAACATCTCTTAATGTAAACCTTCAAATATCAGATTTCATTGAACTGCATTTGATAGTTTTAAAGAGGAAACATCTGCCTGTCATGCATTAATTTTATGCACATCATGCAAAAATGTAAAATGTGACAATCTTTTGTTAAGTAGAAGTTGGGTGAACAATTGAAGAGTCATGAGAACTGCAGTCTTCACAGGGAATGTGAATGCTTGATGAGGTTTCAGCTAACCTACTACATTCAGATGGAACCATTTCCAAGTTATTTGTTTCTTTTATCCGTCTTATCATAATGCCAAAGAAATATGGACTTGTGCATGTAGTATGTTGTAGTTGAGCTTCTTATGTTTCTTTGCTTTCTTCTCTTTAATTTAGGACCATGAGGGTGGAGCAGACCTACAGGTGCTACAGCAAGGTTTGCAGCAAGGACTACAAGGACTGGCTAATCTTCAAGGACTTCAAAATCTCAGTGGTCAAGCATTGCAGGTATTCTTTTATAATATTTGGCACACCTTATCTAGGAATCTGTATGGGAATGTACATTAAATACAGCTTAATATTTAGTGTTCCAAATTTTATTATTTTTCACCATGGTAATCAAATAAAATGATATTTTAGTATGTCAATTATTGTTGTGTTTGGTAGTATGAGTATGAGGGGTGAGCCATAGAAACCGGCCCTTGCACTGTGACCTTCAATTATCTATTGTGCTTCCCCTTTGGATTAACTCTTTATTAATCCTACACTTCGAATGAAATGTAGGACTTTATTTATGGGGTTGTCATGAGAGTCACTTGGTGCCATGAAGAACTGACCCAGGTGGCGATATCTTAGGTAAGCTATAGCCTCACAGTCACATAAGATGTATATGTGGCTGATTCATCTTCTTGTAGGCACCTCACAAGTTGGGTCGTCTGTCAGTCTCAGTTTGAAAAGGTGCTCTTTTAGGTGGCAGTGTCCAGTAAGCAATCCTACCACCCGTCATAATTGATCTCTGTTTAATTTTAACAGGTCCCTTGTTCTTTTGGCAGAGGGTCCTGGTATGAATCCTTTTGCCTGTTTGAGTCCAGTTGTGGATTCGCAGTGTTTTTTGTGATTTCTGTTAGTCCAGTCTCTGATCGCTTTCTTGGCAACTCCAATTGAGATGCTGCAAGCTGGTTCAGGTCCTATGAATGGCTGTTCAGATCCTGTTCTTGCCAGTTGATCTGCAGTTTTATTCCCAGCAACACCCTCATGACCTGGCACCCATATCAGTTGTACTCTATTATGTCTGGCCAGTTGTATGAGGGATTGGTGGCAATCCCAAACCAATTTTGAAGTGATTTTGTGTGTACCAAGTGCTTTGATTGCAGCTTGACTATCTGATAGAATATAGATGTTCCTATTTTTATAGTTTCTATCTAAATTCTGAACTGCGAATGCCTTAATGGCATACACTTCTGCCTAGAATACTGTTGTATACTGACCAAGGCCGAAACTACGTTTCCGCCCTGTTCCATCACAAATGTTTGCTGGTAAATATAAGTAATATTTGGTGGAAAGCATACAGAGTACCAGTACAGTGGATTGAAAATCAACTTTGAATCCAGCAAACCTTATCTAAACATCATACTCAGTCTGACTGTCAGTATTTCTGTTTACCTGTTTGAGAATTAAGTTTTATTGTTTATATGTGTACATAAATTTCATTTAACAAACTTGAAGTATTGGAAGTAGTTTCTAGTGATAATTGATTGTGCTGGACCTAACTTCACTGATCCATATAAAATAAAAATGACATGAAGGAAGCTAAGCCTGTGCCTAAGCACAATGCATGAAGGTGGTAGGAGAAATGCATAGTTTAAAATTCTCTTCTTATGTTTGGTCTGATTTTAAAACTCAGTATTTTGAAAAATTGTGATTCCATATGACATGATTTCATTCAGAATCTATTTAATATCTAGGATAGCAGACTGACATTACAGAGCTTTGTTTATAACCCATTTTGTTGGTTCAGTCTTGTGACAAGTAAGGCAGTCCATAACTGGCCATAATATGTTTCTCCTATAGCAGTTTCTAATTAACAAAAATGGTGGGTTAGAAGAACTATGGTACAGATCACTTCACGTGTAGCAGAAGACCATTTAAATGCCCAGAAGAAGGGGTTAATCTGGCTTTGTTTTATGCATGCAGAGTTTGCAGGTGTTGGCATCACAAGGTCTTGCCCAAGTACAGAACCAAGGTCAGGCACAGGAAGCAGGTCACTACTCTGATACAACTGCTTCTGCAGGTGGCTCTGATGATGAGGGTTCCACAGCAGCAACAGATGGCAGTACACTGCGCACTTCTCCAGCAGAGCAGGTGATATTTTGTTGGAAGTAATAGCATATTGCTAGTGAAATTATCTTATTAAGAAGGTGATCAGCAGCAGTCATTCCCTTAAAATAGAGACAGAGACAGTCTTGTAAAGTGGACTTGTACTCCAAATTAACCCCCTTCTCCCCAAAAACAATTGACAAATGTATGAAACTTCAGTATATATTGAACATTAAAAGAACACATAATTTTTAATATTATGCAAGCTGTATTCTTGTGACCAGTTTGAACTATATTCATGCATTTTTTGTGTTTTGAATTATGCACTGTGATGTTTGGGCATTAGTGGAAAATTATCATACCTGTACTTTGATTAAGAAACAGATACCATTCCAAGGCCCACATGGTTCTACATGATTTTGTTATGAGATGTATTGTACATGTGACTCCAGTTATGATACAGGTTGTTATGCATGAAATTAGACATGTATTGGAGGGTGAAATATGGTTGGCCCAGTTGTATGGACTTAGCGATTGACCTAAAATTATCATCACTATGTGCAGGGGGGCAGTGCAGGCTCAGAAAGTGGAGGTAGTGGTGTAGACAGCATTACAGGGGAACACAATGTGTCGGGCCGTAGTTCAGCGTATGGTGATAATATGCAGGAGCCTTTGGTTGGTGCCAGAAGCGAAACCAGTTCTCTGGGAGCACCTGCTGGATTCCAGGTATGTATTGGAGTTAAGGGTATCATTGTATGCAGAGAAGAATACTGTGTCTCTGAATTTAATCTGTCTGAAATTTAATGTCATTCTTTGGAACTTGCATACTTGAAGGGGTGCCCAAAACTTATGATGTGGGGTAATGTAGACTCATGAAATTATTTATGATAATAGATATTTAAAAATGTGGGACTTTCTTTCTTTCTTTCAAACAACCTTTTGGCTATGTGCAAATATGCATTTAGCTTTCAGTAAATAATGAAATATTGAACAGTGCATACTTTAAACTTACTTACTTGCAAGTTATGTTTGAACATTATTTGTAAGTCATCAGTTACAAATGGGGAATATAAGAAACTCTTAAGTTTATGTCTGACAGAATTATGAGCCAGGATAGCTCAGTTGGTATAGTGACTGGCTACAGGCTGGATGACTGAAGGGTTGGAGTTCAAGTCCCAGCAGGGTCAAGAATTTTCTCTTCTCCAAGTCATCCAGACTAGCTCTGGGTCCCACACAGCCTCCTATAAAATGGTCCGGGAGGGGGGGGGTTCCCTCCAGTGGTAAACTGGCTGGGGCATGAAGGTGACCACTCACCTCCAACTAGTGTCAAGGTCAAAATATGGATATATACATCCACGCGCCCATACATTTTCATGGCGCAGTGGTTTATTAGTTATCTGATGGATCTAGTGTAATCAGAATTTGTACTTAAGTCATAGGTGCTTCTTAATAAGATGGCAGTGGTGGTGGTGATAATGATAATACTGTAAAACATATTTACAGGTACAGGTGGTAAGGTAGAGATTGACTGAAGTAGGATTTGATTTTATAACCATCTGCTCACAAGTTAAGCATGCTAACTTAGTAGCTAAAGTGTGTTTGTTGCTAGAGTATAAATGTGCATCACCTAAATGTAGCATCAGTAACATGAGGTCTGTAAAACTGAAAGTCTGTACAGTTGGAAAATATGCTTTATGCATTTTGCTTCTTAGACATTCTTTTCCTCAATTCACAGACTCAAGCTCACATTATGTCTTCTGTAGGGGTCATAGAATCAAAGAAATGAAATTTACCAGTAAATATTATTTTTTTTTTAATCTGAGAAGCTTGTGATGCATGTGTTTTTCTTTGTTATGGCTTGAAATTTCTTGATGCCACATATGTGGTAAATGTTGATTTACAGGATTTTTAGCATACTAATTGAAACAGATGAATTCATAAGCATAAGGTTTAACAGAGAATGCTTTTTTATATTGTAATTAAATGCAGTCAGTTAGTATTTCTGTCGCTAAATTTCCAGACTCAGGATCCAGATGGTATGGAGCCAGAACCTGAACAGGAACCTGACACAGAGAACAGCTCAAAGCTTCACGCTTTACGACTTGTGTTGTTGGAGCGGCTCATGCACTATGTGCCACACCTGAAGGATGTCGGTGGTGTCAGGTCCATTCCTTTTATGCAGGTATGAAAGACATGTCTGGGGTGGACTTACCAATGGGGCTGACTGTCCTACACCATATCACAGGAGGATGAAGATGATGTTGACAACAGTGATTAGATTAAGGGGGTGTGGCATACCAGCCCTTGCACCAAGACCAGCTGCATTATGTTGTGCATCCCCATTCTAAATCTGTGATGGTGGTGTTGTAGGGGAAATGATGTGACAGCATCAGCAGTTCTGTTAATTCCCCATCATAAATTGAGTACCATACTGGAAAAATTTTTGCTTGTCCAGTACAGATAGAGGTGCAGGTTCCTGGTATATTTGTGTGTTGGTTAGGAGAACTTCTTGAAGTTCAGGCAGGAAGAAAATGTAGGGCTATCAATAGTTGGTGAAATATAACTCTCATGAGTGTTGCAAAGGGGGAAAACTGCATTACTGTAACACCAAAATGTCGATGTAGTTGTTTGTTGTTAAGTAAATAGTTCTGATTAGAAAGACCAATTGACTCTGTGTTATATGTGTGACATCTGTCTCCGAACCATACTGTTTAGATTGAGAGTGTCTGTCCTGTTTCCTCAGGGTTCATATGCTTTTGATGATGCGCAATGAATGATGTAATTACAGCAAACTAAGTTTGATGTCTTGAATTTTGTGGGTTGATAACTGTCATAAACTAATTCCATGGAGCAGAGGCCTTTGTGGAAAGCTGACAGTTGCACAGCTGATGTAAATATCTCTTCCCTTTTATAGACAGAAAAGGTTCATTAATGTGTTCATGAGAGTTCACCGCTAGACCCTGTCCTGATTCAATTAAATTCAATTCACATCTTCATGCCCTGTTACTCAGAATTTACTTTAATGTTTTCTCCTTCTCTGAGGAGGTCTGCCAAATGGTCCTGTTATTTCAGATTATGTAATTAAAATTTTCCGTACATTTCATCATCTCCTCAATGCATGCTGCAGGCCTTGTCTATCTGATTGTCCTTGATATTGTAATGGATTTGATCAATACGTTGCCAGGCAACAGCTCTGTAAACACTGTCCAACATGCAACAGTAGAGGAAGCTGTGTTTCCCATGTCTGCGGTGATGTCACACAGCGGTAGGTAGTGGTCGTGACGTGATTCCTGTATGTCTGTGCAGTGTGCGTCAATAGACTGGCTGGAGTGATCACGTGACATGTTTCCTGTGATGTATGTCCGTTCCTTGGCTATAAAAGTTAGCAGAATTCCTAAGCTGGAGTAGTAGTAGTGGCAGAAGTATGTGAACAAGAGGGTAGCAGTAAGCTAGAGGAGTACAGAAGAGTACAAGAAGTCAGCCTGTGAAGATTTAACTTGTGATTTGAAGACTTTATATGTTCTGTAGTATAGTGATATTGGGACTGTGTGATTTAGTGAGACTTTTATAGTTCCCGTGTTATAAATCTGAAGACTAGTGGAGGCAAACTGAAGAGAGTAACGTGGAGTGCTTTGTAGTGTGAAAGTCAGTAACAGTATTATAATTATTTGTAATTAAGGCCTGTAAATATCCAATAAATCCAATTACTAGTCCAGACCCTGTCTTTAGTCACTGATACATGTGACAATATGATCTAATAGTAATATTTGGTGAAAGATACAAATTATGAAGTTCTTGTTATGTAAGCTTCTTCATCATCCTGTTACTTTATCATTTCTTGGGTACAGATATTCCTGCCACAATCTTGTTCCAAATCACCGTCATATATTCCAGATTCCAGGTTATATATGGTACAAAACATTCCACTCTTAATGCATGTATTAGTGTTTCCTCTTCTCCCTGATGTTGATACATTATATTTTACATGGGCAATAAATGTATTGAAATGTACACGAATGTACACATATAATTGGTTTTAGGTTGTTCTCATGCTGACTTCTGACCTTGATGGGGAAGAGGAAAAAGACAGAGCGTGTCTTGAGAACTTGCTTACAGAAATTATAAGCGAGTTACATATGAAGCAACCAGATACAAACAATATATGTGACCGCAGTGCAGAACGGGAGGTGCATCTCGTCATCATGCGACTCCTCAGTGAGTATTTATTACAAGCAATGCAGTATGCAAATTTAATAAAAGAAGAAGAGCCAGTTACTGAGTTAGGGTTCAGACACAGCTAATTTTACTGTTTTTAGAAGCTAGTACTACTTTATGTCTACGTGTTGTAACACTCACAGCTAAGAAGGGAACACACATCACAAGACACGGTTTACACAGAATATAAGAAAAACGACCCCCATAGTGGAAGAACCACATGCAAGTTTTAATTATGACACATAAGATGAATAATCTTAACAAGTTTTAGTATGTGTAAATTTATTATAGTTGACAAATACGCATTTTTTAAATACTTTGTAAATAATTTTATAAAGGCAAGCAATGAAATAGATTAGTGTAATTAGGGCACCTGATGATGGCACTATGTTGCCGAAACATGTCGTGAAGTAACAGGTGAAATTGAGTGCACTACAAGACAGCAACTGTATACATATCATGGATTAAAATTGTTGGTAAACCTTTCAGATTATTTGCCATGTTACCAGTTGTATATATTCATTATTTTTGTTTTTTATGCATGATGTGTTTCTTAGGTGTACTGATGTCCCGTTCAAAGTCCAACACCAAAACAACTGGAGATAATTCCAGTTTTGTTTCTCAGACCACAGCAGCCATGTTGTTGCAGGCTGGTGTTATTGATTATTGCCTGACACTCCTCAAGAATCTGCTGCAATACTGGAAAAGGTACAGCAAAACAGATGAGTGTTTCAGCACTTCAGCCTTCAGGCTATCTAAAAATGTACTTGTTTGTTCAGTTTGACATTATGAAGTTAAGTTAAGAATATTACACTCCAGTTATGAAGAAAATCACCAGAATTCTATAGTGAGTGGTGCTGTAGCTGTGAACCAAACGTATTTTTTTGACATTAGAGGGTAGGTCAATAAGTAAGTTACAAATGGATATAGAACTTAAGCAAATAAGAGAACTGATTTGAAAAATGGTTTTATTTCTCAACATAATCTCCCTGTACATTGAGGCACTTGTCCCATCGTTTCACAAGCCTCTGAAAACCGGCAGTATTACATTCTTTGGGCTGCTGTCGGAACCGGGTGGTGACTTCCCTTTCTACAGCTTCATCGTAGGGAAAATGTTTAGCCGAAAGATGATGTTTAAGAGGGCCGAATAAATGGAAGTCGCTTGGAGCAAGATCGGGGCTATATGGAGGATGCTCAAGGACTTCCCACTTGAAATTTTGCAGCGTCTTATTTGTCTTGTTGGCGGTATGGGGAAGCGCATTGTCATGCAAGAGCAACACGCCTTTGGTGAGGAGTCCTGGTCGCTTCCATTGAATGGCCTTACGAAGTTTCCTGAGGATGTTACAGTAGGAGTCGACATTTATGTAAATTCCAACTCCTATTGTAACATTCTCAGGATGTAAATGTTCCCTGTAAAAGGAAGTCACTGCCTGGTTCTGACAGCAGCCCAAATAATTTCATGCTGCTGGTTTTCAGGGGCTTGTGAAATGATGGGGACAAGTGCCTCAATGTACAGAGAGATTATGTTGAGAAATAAAAGCATTTTTCAAATCAGTACTCTTATTTGTTTAAGTTCTATATCCATTTGTAACTTACTTTTTGACTTACCTACGTATATGGGTCATGCCATAGCTCAAGCGGTTAGTCACTGGCTTCCCACTGTGGTGGCCCGGGTTTGATCCTGGGTCTGGTCAAGTGGGATTTGTGGTGGACAAAGTGGCACTGGGGCAGGTTTTCCCTGAGTACTTCGGTTTCCCCTGCCAGTCTTCATTGCACCAATTGCTCCACAATCACCCTCACCTAACATCAGGGGCTGGTACAATAGGCCTGAAGTTGTCACAGTACAAGGGATTTAGTCCCACCCTACTGGCAATAAAAAAATAATAATAATACCTACATACATTCACAGCCACTTCAATTTTTATCCTATGTCTGATGAGAATAATGGCAATGATGTTCTTGTTGCATCATTTTGAAATTAACATAAAGAGTTCCGTTTTCAGGGCCTACTTTATATTGAATTAGATATGAAATGTAATGTTAATAAATTTCCTTCCAGTTCCAGTGTGGAAGAGGCTGGTACTGTGATTGGTGGTGCACTTTTGAAGCCACACTTGACAACTGCACCACCTGATATGTCACCATTCTTTTTGCGCCAGTATGTCAAAGGTCATGCCAGTGATGTTTTTGAAGCATATCCACAACTTCTAACAGAAATGGCACTTAGACTTCCATACCAAGTACAGAAGCAAGCTGATAATGCCACTGCAGTTCCAGTTACATTCCAGCAGGTAATATTTTTGAGCTCAAAAATTTTACATCCACATTTGCTGTTGTGTCAGTTTAAGTTGAAACAATGAGGAAAATTTATTAAAATTTTAAGTTAAGTCATTCTCACAAGCACCATTTTGTTTTTAAACATTTCAGTATATTATGTGTTTGACGTGGCAGAGTGTTAAGAAGTGAATTGTGCTTAGCAGATGCTAACAACTACAAGAAATATTTGTATCCACACAAAATGGGCTGGTAACATAATATTAAGCTTAAGATTTGAACGATACAGCCTCATACTGTCCAGGATGTGACACCGTGGTTCTGGGAGATGCCTCCGTCCCATAGTACACAAATTCACGAATTCTTGCGAAGAAACCTCACCAGCAATCCCCAGCTTGCCTTGAAGCCTTCATTACAATGCTCTCTCACTTTGTCTTGATCTCTCTTATTTTACTGGAACATTTTGTTTGATACTGCAGACCCAAACTGCTGCTTCTCACATATTTGCAAAACTTTTCTCCCATTTGAGAATCAGAATATTTTCTATCAGTAGTTCAATTTCTGATTTATTCTGCCTCTTGAATTATTTTCAGTTTCTAACTATCTGTGAAGGATCATAGTAAATGAATGCCTTTATTTCTGATAATTAGCAGAATATGTGCACAGAACCTCACTGATTAACATCTGTTCATGCCTTGTAGACTGAGACTTTGTGTATGTAAGTGAAGGAAATTGTGAAAGTTGAAATGGTTGTCAGCAAGCATGTCACTAACCTCACAATGAAGAGCCACACACCATTGCCAGCCTTGTTATGAATAAACTCCATTATTGACATCCTCATCATGAATAAGCCTCACACCTCAGTTTCAGTTTATTTGGAGAGGGTTTCCACAAGTATTGAAGGAAATTTAGTAATTCTGTTACCTGCACTGTATTGATCATACAGTTTCAGTTTGTCCTAATTGTTAAGAGGATGATGTCTTATTTTCATGTTGTTATAGGCCTGGTATTACTACTTGTGTGAATATATGATGACACATCAGACCCCATTTGTTCGTCGACAAGTTCGTAAGCTGCTTCTTTTCATATGTGGAAACAAAGACAAATACAGACAGCTGCGAGATTTACATGCTCTTGAATCTCATATGAAGGTAAGATATTGAATTTCTTTTGCCTCAATATTGTATTGTAGCTTCCTGTTGCACTTTTCACATAGTTTCGATTAGTTTTATACAGCACTGTGTTCTGTAAAATTTATTAAAAGTTGTTTTATGAAAAACATGTTTTGACCAATGTGGCCATCATCAGGTGTTAATATTATTGGGTGAGGAAACTGCTGCCTTCTGTTGCTTATGTTGTTAATATATAAGTCCCCTTGGTGTGTGTGTGTTAGAGAGTGAATTGGTGTGTTGTATTCTTTCCTGTTGTATGTTGTATTGCATGTCTGGTTTTTGAATTTACCTTGTTTGTAGTTTAGAGACAGTGAGATGATTGCATAATAAGAAATGCTCTGAAAAGATGTTTGTATCAATATAATGTAGAACTTTTTACAGCGTCTTTAAGCTAGAATAACTCAACTATATTTAGTGGCTGTAAGTGTGATAACTATTTTATTTTAATTCGCTTAGTGGGGGGTGGAGTCCAACTGGGTCCATTCGGCACGGCGGCCACTGATTGGCCTATTGTAGCCTGCCCTGAGTGATTATGATGATGGAGAATTTGATGGAATGAAGACTGACAGGGGAAACCGAAGTACTCGGAGAAAAGCCACTCCAGCGCCACGTTGTCCACCACAAATCCCACTTGACCAGACCCGGGATCGAACCCGGGCCACCGTTTTGGGAAGCCAGCGACTAACTGCTTGAGCTATGGCACGGCCCAAAGTGGGATAACTGGGTTTCTTAGCTTGGCAGAGACAAGGATTTTTCCTCTTTTCCATCACATCCAAACCACCTGTGTGACCAGTCCTGCCTCTTTCTCAAAGGCTAAAGTAGTTGGATTGTTTAGCTGACCGCTCATTGCCATCCAGATCTGAGTTAAAAGGAGTGTGTAGCGTTGTCTTTACTTCTCCATATATCTTAATGGTGTAATGTGTAGATGCAGGACAACTCTCTTTCTCCTTTATACTGTAAGGTTCCTTGACATAATTAGGTACCATATCACAAAGACATATGGGAGAATAGAGATATAGTTCCGTGCATTCTTAACCTTGACACTAGATGGACATGAATGATGTGCCTTGGTTGCATTACCCCCGGAGACAGAGTTCCCAATATCCATTGGATAGGAGGCTGGATGGGCCCCTGTGCTGATCTGAACATGGTGGAGGACAGAGCATTGTCTCTGTCCCTGATAGAAGCTGAATCCCAATTCCCTGGTTGTTCAGCCCATAGAGTAATCATTATCTGGCTCAAATTGCCTTTTACTTTACATGTTACTCAGTTATTCTAACCCAGACTATAAAATACGACTCGTTTTATTCACAAAACATGTTTTGTCTATAATATATTCTGCTTCATTAAGGGATTTCATGAGTGTGTTATCTAATGTAGGATTGTAATTAAAAAGTATCGGTGAAGATCTCAATCAGACTTGAAATTGTTAATGACATTAAAATAAAGTTAAAATTAGTGGTGTAGTTCTAGTTACTCACATGAATATTGATTTAGTCACATTTTTTGTTCAGCTCCTTTTGTACTCCTGTATTGTTTTTCTTCTCTGCTTTAGTATCATTCTTATCTGCTCCCTGCTTTTATGTTCCGTTTAATGGTGTATGTATGTGTGTGTGCTTTTTTTGTACTACTCCATATGCCGTTCAGTCGGCTTACTCAAGAAATGGAGGTGAATATCTTCAATGACATATTTTAATTACAGTCCTAGGTTAAAGAGTATGAGAGTCAAATAATCCTGAAGATGCAAAAAAATTATGCATGGAATGTATGAAGTGAATAAAACAATAAGTAGTATTTGAAGGTCAGAGTTGTAATAAATGTATGACTTTATGTTGTGTAATGTTTCATTTGTATAATAACTTGATAGTAAGTGTACCAAAAGAAATCTGTGTCTGTTATGTGGGAAATTTATGATTTAACATAGCAGCAGGTGCATCTTAAAGAGAGCCAATTATGTTTCTGTGATTATATATATCAGTAGAAATTTAAAGTTTTGAAGAGCAGTAATATTACTATTATTGATTATCTGGGATTCCATTGTTTTTCCAGTGTGTTCGAACGTGTTGTCGAGCTGGTGGGTACGACCCAGAAGTGCAGCAACCTCACTGTATTACTTTACCATATGACTCATTGGTAGAACTGATAGAACATCTGAAGGCCTGTGTTGAAGTAGCTACAAGTCGAACTGGGAACTGGCAACGTTTTTGTGTGCGTGAGGATTCTGTGCTGCCATTCCTACTTCAAGTATCATGCTTGCTAGATGAAGGTGTTTCTCCTACCATCCTGCAACTGCTTCAGTGTGCGATATGTGGCAGTAAGGCCAGCAGCAGTAGTTCCAGCAATTCACAGGTCAGTTATGGGTGGTCATTTTGAGTTTGAAATCTGAGGGATAATGTTGCCACTCTCTTCCCTTCTTTGTCTCTGGAGTCAGGATTTGCGTTATGCTTCAGCCTTTCTGCCAAGACTATTAAAAGAACTTCTTTTATAGAGACAGCATCTTGTTTTTTTTGATATAAAATTGTTCTATTGGTACAGTCTAGACATTTCATTAGTTAGTTACACAATGCATGCAAGTTATGAAACCACATTGCTTAAATTTTTGTGAGATAAAATTGCCATTTGTTAAAACAAACCTTTAAACTTTACTGTTTTTTTCCTAAATATTTTGATTCAAGCTATATTTCTATTTTTAGAATAATGAATGACTTCTGCTTAAATTAGGTATAATAGATATGTATCAAGTTGTACATTCATTTCATCAAGCTGTACACCTAGTTTGTGTATATTTTGTTGATGCTTAGTTTTATATTGTTTACGCTGTAGTCTGGGCCAGCTCCAGCTTCGTCATCGGCCTCCTCCACAACAGGTACTGGCACACCAACACCTGCCCCTGCTCCAACTTCAGCACCAGCTCGCAAGGATCGGGAGAAATCTGATGACTCAGAAACAGAAGCGCGCTTTGAGGAAGCACAGTGCATAGTTTTGGTGAATCAAATAAACAAGCAGGTGTCACATGATCTGCTGGCACGTTTCGTTAAAACTTTCCTCCTGGAGACAAATGCTACCACTGTTCGCTGGCAGGCCCATGCCCTTGTGCTTGCCATATACAAGTAAATATATATTAACTTAGACCAAATGGAATTAATCTATGCACTTCAAGGTCATTATTTCTGTGTATGGATTAATAACCCTTTTTGTACTCCAGGAACTCTCCTGCTGCAGATCAGGAGTCACTGTTGGACCTGCTATGGAAACTGTGGCCCCAGCTTCCAGCATATGGGCGTAAGGCTGCCCAGTTTGTTGATCTGCTTGGTTATTTTTCTCTCAAAACAACACAGACTGGCAAGAAGGTAGGTTCGAAGTACAGAGCAGTTAATCTGAGTCATTGCATATTATTGTAGGGGTTGCTTAGGTGGGTGGAGGGCAAGAACAGTGACTGTATATTTGCAGCATTCCTGTACTTGGGTCATATCCATATTTTACTGTACTGTTTGTATGACTCTGCCTAATCTAATTTGCTTCATTACAAACCAATCTTTTACTCTGGTACTGAAGCTGTGTTTGGTGTTATATACCTTTTTAAGAATAGGCTTCTGTTTTTAATATTTTAATTTTTATGTTTCAAAACTGGCCTGTTTGGCAGGTCGATGACTAATAATACTTGGTTAAAGAAATGTCTTTAAGTGTAATGAAATTGATACGTCTTTAAGGGAAATATTGCGAAAGTTAAAATATACCAGACTGTATTTTGTCTGATGTTTTGTAAAAGTGGATCTTACCCTAAGGAAAGAAAAGAGATTGAGGTTGTTTGAGAATAGGGTGCCGAGGAGAATATTTGGACCTAAGAGAGATGGGGTTACATGAGGCTGGAGAAAATTGAGAAATGAACAGCTTCATAATTTATACTCATCAGCAGATATTGTTAGGGTTATGAAATCAAGAAGGATGAGATTGGTGGGATTTGTAGCAAACATGGAGGAGATGAAAAATGCACATAAAATTTAATCTGAAAACGTGGAGGGAAGACAGGTATATTACCAAAGTGGATCTTAAAGAAATAAATAGGATCTGGTGGTATGGGCATGATTTATCTGGCTCGTGGAGGGGTCCAGTGGCAGGCAATTGTGAGCATTATAATGCAACTATGGGTTTCATAAAAGATGGATTTCTTAATTAGTTGTGTAACTGTTAGCTTCTTAAGAAGGACTGCTCCATCAAGTTAGTAAATTAGCTAGTGAGTGACGAGATAAAATTAGTGTTGGGTTCAATTTATTTACTGTTCACAAAATTCTGTCTCTATATGAATGATACTACATATATTACTAGATTTAATTCGACAAATCCAGAGTAAGCTTTCTTTTTACATAAGTTTGATCATGTGACAGTATGAAAGTTCTGAATTTTTGTAATGAAATTAACACGTTTAGTACCATTAATTTGATAAAGTCACAGTGTTTCAAATTGCATAACATTATTTTAGCAATTTTTGTTAATTAATTAATGTTCCTGATCTTAATTTTCTCACCAAACTAAAACTGAGTAGGCCTACATAGCAGTGGCTGTGGCTGTCTTGACTCATATCTGCATTAGTCCATCCAGGTAGGTGCTGGAACAATGCTTTGTAATAAAAAATGAGCCACTCCCTTCTTTCCAGACAACAGTATATAAACATCATCTCTTATCATTCCATGCTTAATAGCCTGGCCTAGTGCAGTTAATGACTGAACCAACCAAACTAGAAGCTGAGTAATTAGAGATTACCTGTTGCAGATGTGTGAGTACATGGAACAGGCTGTAGGCATCTTACATACACAGAACCAGTTGCTGGCACATCATCCAAATGCTAACTTGTACTCACATCTGGCACAATTTGTTGAGTTGGATGGATACTACTTGGAGAGCGAGCCTTGCCTTGTGTGCAACAACCCAGAGGTGGCCTTATCGAGTATCAAATTATCTTCCATCAAGGTATTTCCCAATATATATTCATTCAAAAGTGCAACACAAGCAAACATAGCTGTATTCCACCATTAAGACTTATACAGGTATATAATAGACATCTTTCTGTTCAGAGGGTGATAACAATGTATGAAATTCAGTAGAATCTCCCATTTGATAACTTATTTCATTTTACCATCATTGGCAGACATATTGATGTATTGTAGCATTTTTTATTATGCACAAGATCCAGATGATTTTGTAGTAATTACATGTCTGTTTATACTATTGACTGTCAGGATAGTGTAGTCGGTATAGCTACTGTCTACAGGCTGGGTGACCAGGAAGCTGGAATTCGAGTCCCAGTAGGGTCAAGAATTTTCTCTTCTCCACATTGTCCAGAGTGGTTCTGGGATTCACCCAACCTCCTATTCAATGGGTACTGTAGGCTTCTTCCCCAGGGATAAAGTGGCAGAGGCGTGAAGCTGACCACTCACTTCCAGGTAGTAACGAGGTCAAGAAATGTGAATCTATACGTTCATTCCCTCATACGCCTTCATGGCATACTGCTTAATTAGTTAAGCACAAGGAGAACTTTACCCGTTTTTACCTTATGCTATTGAATAATGTAAATGTTGTTCACAGATTGACTCCAAGTTCACAACTACCACACAAATAGTAAAACTAGTTGGTAGCCATACTATCAGTAAAATTACACTGCGCATTGGTGACTTGAAGCGAACCAAGATGGTGCGAACTATCAACATATATTACAACAACCGTAGTGTACAAGCAGTTGTGGAATTGAAAAACAAACCAGGTAAGCTTCTCAAGTAGCTCATCAATATGCATTGTTAGATGTGCAAAAAAAATTTGAAGCTGTCTGATACTTCATTCATGCCCTTCTGTATTTCTGAAAAAGTATCCAAACTTTGTGATCATTTTAAATCGAACTTGGAATGGTGGACCTAAACCTAATTTTGTGAAACCAATTTGATATTGATATATTTGGTATTATTTTGAGGGCCTGAGTAAGTGTTTCAGTTTCCATGTCTTTTGACTGATTTTGGTAAAACCATGAAAAATTGAACATTAAAATGAACAGACCACTTGGTAAACTCAGAATCTCATAAAGTTGTATAATGAAAATGGCCTCAGTAAACATAGCCATAGGAACTTCAGAATGTTCACTCTCTGCCATCAGCTGCGCAGTATAAACTGTTCAGATAAATAACAAAACCATAGAACAGAATCAGGTCTACATGTACTTGGATTAATCAGAAACTAATGTGTGAGCACACCCATACAACTGACCCCTACAAAGACTTATAGTCCTCAAATAACTAGCATGTACTAAGTGGAGATGCTTAACAACTTCTTTAAATACACACGAAAATCCTGTGCATAATCAGTTCTCTAACTTTGGAATCAGATATTAATTATAGTAAGGTAAAGTAATCCCTCTATGATATTGGAAGGATTCTAACTGCACTCTCATGTGTTATTGCAGATCATACTGCCTTGAGTTTATGCTTTGCAAGTTTAATCTGTATGTCTTTGTTGCTTTGTAGCTATGTGGCACAAGGCAAAGAAAGTGACCCTGGCTACTGGTCAGACAGAAGTAAAAATGGAGTTCCCATTGCCAATTGTAGCATGCAATTTAATGATTGAATATTCTGATTTCTATGAGAATATTCAAGCCTCTTCAGAGACTTTGCAGTGTCCCCGCTGCTCTGCCTCTGTACCAGCCAATCCTGGAGTTTGTGCTAATTGTGGTGAAAATGTGTTCCAGTGCCACAAGTGTCGGTGAGTATTACTTTCGCTCTCATTGATCTAACATTGTTAATTATTCCATTTTTGATTGATGGTGCTAAGTTTATTTACTAGGTTGCCATCCATACTTAAGCTATTCTTTAACTCCTGGTGCCATGTAATTAAAATCTAAATACGTACTAACAGAATCCTGATATTTCCTTTTCATCACCTTCACATTTAATTAATGGTGAAAGAGGGCCAGTCCTAAATATAAGAACATATAAAATTATTATGATTATAACAGCTTGCCTGATTTTTTTTTTATAAGGAAAAATAGGTTTGTTATATAATATTTTTGTGTTTGTCTTCCCTAATAACTTTTTAAACATTTGATCAATTTTCATGAAATTTCATGTGAAAATCATGCCAATGTAGGCCACCCCACCCTTGCAATTCATCCTTTTCTGCCTTTAATAATACCATCATAGTATCCAAGCAGGTTTCTGAATGGGGGACAAAGAGTGGTGCAGTTTTATACAGGTCCTAAAGCCTTATGTAGTGGGAGATCTTTGAAAAATGTTTTATCTTTTTTAGGTTGTAAAACATCAGCATGGTGTCCATGTGGGATCTATATTCAATTGTTCTTTCTGTGGTAATAAGTAATGAACCACTGGGACTAAGATGTATGAAATTATTTATGAAGATAAGTTATAAACATAACTGGTACTTGTGTATGAAACGTTTTTATGTTTAACGGTTGCATACAAGGTGACATGGTGATTTCAAAACTTTAATATAATGAGAATTTGATATTATGGAAGTTATTTATGTAAATTTATCATTGAGTATGACAATTTCTTTGTGGTACCCCTGAGCCTCTTGATATGGATAGAAGTGTCTGAAGGCCGTTGAGCTTCATAAGTTGTCACTATATGTAATAATGGAGGTTTCAGTAAATGAAAACTTTATTATAAAATTATTCCAATTGTGCATACAAATGGCATATTCACTTACTTGCGTACTCCCAAGAACTGTTTACAGACATCACTGTATTGGAGCTGTAAGCTATATATGAAATGATGGTATTGGTACTTGTTAACTTGTTCTCTATATTGAATGTGACTATTATATGATTGTGTTTTATTAACAGGGCAATCAACTATGATGAGAAAGATCCTTTCCTTTGTCATGCTTGTGGTTTCTGTAAATATGCAAAATTTGATTATACATTAACGGGAAGAGCATGTTGTGCTGTTGACCCCATAGAGAGTGATGATGACCGCAAGAAAACAGTAGCTACTATCAACTCATTGCTGGAGAAAGCTGACCGTGTCTATAAGCAGCTTATTGCCAACAAACCAACTCTTGAGGTTAGTACTGTGGAAATGGGACTTGTAGCATGTCTCTGCAATTGGATTACCCCAGTTGACAGTATTTCACAGTAAAGATATGAACAACATATAATGTACATATGATTAAGAAGTCATAAAATATATGTACAAGCACCATCTAGTAGCAGAAAAAGACTGATTATTTGAGTGGACCTTACCAAAGTGTAGGTTTGAACAGTCAGACTCTTCTGCAGTAGTTTAGACAGGGCACCTGCAAATGGCCAAGTTTGTTTGCAGGAATGAAGGTGTTAATCTTTTTGTTCTTTGAAACAGAATTAGAAACTTTTAACACTGGACATTCATACATTCTCCTATTCAGATGATACTATAATTTCTTTCCCATGGGTTCAGCAGCTAAGTCATTGGCCACTCACTCCTGTCCAATACCAGCATTAAGTATATGTGTGAAGCTTTGCCTCTGCCAACCATGTTTCTTCATGATGGTACAGGAACAGTTGTATCTCTCTTTCTGTTATCCCCCCTCCCCCACTACCAAATAAATGGACTGTGTAAATAGAATGTCTGATAGAGCCAAGAGTTTCAACAGCACTGGTATGGAAGTGCACCATAGGACACATTCCATGCCATGCCATTTCATTCCTGTTCATAAAGTAGCTGCTTTCCAAGAAGTTTTCCTACTAAATCTTTATGTGCATGTTTTGAACTGACCCATTCAGCCTGTCATCACTTGCTCACTCACTCATGGAGCTGAGCCCTTCTTGAGAAGCTGCTAATTGTACAGTTACTCCAGCCTATCATAAACTCTTTAATTTGCCTCTCCTGCTTGAACTGTTAAATGCTGTGAGTAGTGTCCTGCATTCTGCACTTCATCTCTCTTGATCTTTGCTGCTGTGTTTTTTCATCACTCTACACTTCCTGTCCATATGTCAGATTAACCTTTATCGGACGGGCCATTTAATTTCCGGTAGGGGCAGCTGGACGGAGTTTATTTAAATGCCCGCCCTTCTAGAGCAATGAAATTGTAAGCATGTTTCTAAAATGGTGTGATTTCTACATTTTTTATGATAAACGAACGAAATGAACGCTCCTTTAATGTAGAAAGAATATAGAATCAGATATTCTAATTTACAGATTTTAATATCTGTAAAAAAATTTTACACTGATTCCCAAAATAAAATTTCCCGAAATTCATACATTTTCTGCACCATGCGTTCTAGCAGTGTAATACAT